TTCATTCGTTTATTTGACTACTACAGTTTAACAGGAAAAGAAAACTTTTCTTGACGTCAGTTATATAATGCTTTATTATTTAATCAGAAATTGTGACTTAGAGATGCGTGCTGTTTGATAAAAAAATTATTCCGAAAATAGGTTTTACAAATCCCAAAATGTGTTTTATTTGCATTGTTTTATGATGACTTTATGCCAACTCTAAAATTCTGACTCATAATTAGTTTTTGAGATTTCATTTGTCGGCCATAATATTTTTCATTTTCATTTCAAGGGAGCATAATTGTTTTCCATTTGTAATTGCTTGGAGTACACCTGTTTCCCACTCTCTAATTCAGAATAATACAGAATGTTTTCCCAGCTGTTAGCACACGTTCACATGTTCGTTTTCATTCAATGCTAAGCAAATGCAGTATGCAAATTATTCCAAAAAGAAAAAATTAAGAAATAATATTGTTAATCGTTAGCCAACAGTACGAATACGTAATGCCATTCGACTCGCTCCTATTTCCATCAATTATCAATTCATATATTTAACTAAACGTTTAACGAAGAAGAACGTGGCTTACTTCTCTATATTACTTTTTATTGTATTTTCCTGCTCTCAGCATATACGAATGTGCTAATTAGTGGGAAACGTTTAACGTCCGAGTCTGTGTCAATTGGTTTTAGTTGGTTGATTGAAGGGCAACCCACTGTGCCTGATGCCCACTGTACGAGTGTGCCAAACAAACAAAACGAGGCGAACGGGCATAGTGTTTGTTGAAAGTTTTCGTCCCATTGCTAATCATCTGCCAGCACGCACTGTCTATGAACAGTAAACACTCGGTGGAGCAGACTCATTTGAAATGGCGGAATATCTTATCTAACGATATAATTTTATTTTGTTTTTGGATGATCCAGAAATCCCAAAAATTTGACTTCTTATTTAAACGAATTAATCCTTCTTCCCCTAATAAGAAGGTTATTAAACAAGAGTAAACACAATACTTTGTGGATGCTTGACAGAAGTGTTTTTCGATCAATTTCCAGCTGTTTGTTATGTTATAATGATGGTGACACTTTGCTGGGGTTTGTGGAATGCAATTGCGGCTTTCTGCGGGGAGTAACCGTCATTGTTTATAGCCCCCCGCCCCCATCCATTACGCTTTTTTTTACACTCGGCTCCCTTATTTAGCCACATCACGTATACGCCACCGATGCCGATCGTTCTCACTGTTATCAGCACTTTTTCTGGTTTTTCTGTTTTATTTTTCAGAGCACTTTTGCCTGCCTGCTGCCCACAAAAGGGTAAACAACTTTTGCTCTGTCAACACTCAACACTCATTATTCATTATTATTTTTTCCTCCTGCTTTTGTTGTATGCACACATTGTTTTTCCTTTTTTATTTTCGCGAGGAAAATGTGCGCTTTGGCTATATTTAGTTGTATTAATTGCGGTTGACCCAATTTGTTGTTCTTGCACAGGCGACGCCTTGTGTAATTGCTTATAGCAAACACAACAAAAAAAAAATAAATAAAATAAAACAAGAGCAAAAATAAAAAAAAAACTAAACACCAGATAGTGAAATGCAGATGTGCACGAGGAAAAGCCAAAAAGAACACATGATGGGTTTATTTTGGTTGAACGCCGACGAAATCAATTGAAATTGAAATTTTTAGGCGACCAAAAGAAATCGAGTAAAGCCAAAGAGAATAAAACCAAAATTGTCTGTTGGAAAGGTAGAGTCCGTGGTTCGTTGTCTCAGACGATCGAGGGGTTTTGTGATTGTGTTCGTATTTGTGCGGATTATCGGGGGCTGTAAGTTGGCCTGGCAACAGCGAAAAGTCTTAAATGCCAAAGCGACAAAAACAGCAAACAAAATGTACTAGCAACATGACTGCATAAATACATAAATACTTGGCTACAGGGGCAGGTGGGTACATGGGGCACAAAAAGTATATATTTCGATATCATGCCATTATACTCGAACCAATAGCTCCAAATCAAATTTGGGACTCCTAAATAGTACCTTAGTATCAACTTTTTTTTTTTGTTTTTTTGCCGAATTAAAAACCGGTTCTAATAATGTGTACATGTTATAATATATATGTACATATGTATGTAACTTATCAAAATATTAAATTATAAAAACTGATTAGGAAAAATAAACTTAAAACCATACATATTAAGTACCAGTTTCTATTGACCACAGGTTTTATGTTTATGTTTACGTGTTTAAAATTATAAAAGGGTTTTATAATTTTTTTTTAAAAACCTTAAGATTGTAATTGGAATACAAAACAAAAAAGGTTTATATGATTAATGACTTTTTTTCCGATTTAAGTTCTAATTATTTTGTTAAATTATTAAGAGGAGTAAATTAAACACATAAGTTCTTCAAAACATTAGTTTTTCATAGTTAATTTTTTGGTTACAGAAATAAGAATACGATCTCTATAATGGTAAAAATTTTAAATTTATTAGTATTTGAAGTTGATGAGAACATGAATAAATTTATGGGCAAATAAAAAGGAACCTTTATTGATGTGGGCAAAATTATTTAGAGTTACTACATATTTAACCGCAACTGTGTGCAGATTCGTATATAGGTAGGGGTATATATACATATTTACATATGTACATACCTGCCTTACATGCATACACTCTATATTTAGTTCTTTCTTTTGTTGTCTCTCCTACTGCAGTTTTCACCGTCTTCTTCTTTCTATTTCTCTGGTTTCTTTTCCACTTTTTTTTTTGGTTTTTCGGCGTGCCCAAAAAGCCGGCAAACTTCATTTTATTTACTCTCTTTTTTCAGACGTTGTGTGCTCTTTGAGAGAAGCTATCTCTGTGATTTTCTCTTTTTATTTTTTATTGGCGTTTTCATTTTCAATTTCGTTGTTGTACTGTGCGTGAGCCGTGGAATGGGGAAAAAGTTGTATAAATTTATTTTTATTTTCAACAAATATAGGATGAGATACATAAGCGGCCGCAGCGACAATGCCGTCGTTGTTCAATTTTCCGCTGCTATTGCTAAAATTAAATATGGTTAAGCAGCAACACTAAAAAGCAACAAAAATAAAACTAAAAACGACTCAAACAAAATGAATGCACTGGTAGAAAATACTGTGTTACATTGACCGACACTAAGTAAATAGAAAAGGAATAATGTGTTCACACATTTTTTTTCAGGTGGCAATACGGTTTTATATCTTAAAAAAGATTTATTAATAGGTTTTTTCTGAATTTTCGGAGAACCTTAAAATTACTTTGGTAACAAGTTACTTATTGCTGGAACCGAAACGATATCTTATTTAACATACAAAAGTATGCAGATGTTTTGAAAAACTAAAAATAAGATACATATTTGTTTTGCTTCAAATTTTTTTCTGTGCTGGGCTGCATTGAATTTTTGTTTGTGTTGGAATATTTGCGTTCGCAAATTTTTTTTAGTGTGTGTGCGTTTGTGTTTTAGCTTCTTGTATTTCCTGCTCTGTCGCTCTCCTATTTAGCTCTCTTCTCCCCATGTCTTTGCCCCTTTTTTGTCGCACGTGTCGCGATATATTTTTTTTGGCAAGCGGAAAAATGTTGGGGCTATTTTAATTAATTTAATTATGCATTGAATTAACAATCACAGCAAAAATTAGGCAATTAAACAAATGTTTGAAGTTTTTTTTTGTAAGCTTTCAGTTATGACGTGTAGTTTTGTCAATTCATTCACATGCAGGTTATCGAATTCTAGCTTGTGATTTTGTTACCTACCTATGTATTTCAATATAAACTTGATTATTTTTTGTTTTTTTGTTTGTTTATGTTTGTTATTTAACGCTGAATATTTTATCTATTTATTTGTAATATTTGTTGAAACAAAATAATTTAAGTTAAGTTTACCTATAAATTTTTACGTATTTTTTGTTATGCCTTTAAGTTAATTAAATAAAAGCCTAAAAAGTTTTTATTTTGAAAACCTATTGACTGTTATATTAGCAAAAACAATGACGTATTTTGTTAAGCATAAATTGCTGTTGCCATTTTGTTTATTTATAAATATTTAGAGGATTGTAATAACAATACTTGTGAGTCACTGGGCTCTCTTAGAGAGGTCAAAAAGCAGTTTGTAAGAGAGTATTTGGCAAGAGGAGTTCAAAGAGCGAGAGAGGGAGAGAGTAATTGTTTAAGCCTAGCCCAAACAGCTGTTTGTTGTGCCTTATATTTGTTTTTGCCTCTGTCTTTTGTTGGTTCCCTGATATCCTTGTCGAAAGTTGTTTATGTTAAGGCAAAAGAAGAGAGCGATTAAAAGGGTGGAAAAGAGAGTGGAGAAAGCAAAAAAAGGGCTGCAGACGGAAAGAGACAGGTAGCTGGTCTCCATGAGCCATAGAAATTTAAGCATTTGTTTTTGTTGTCAAACTATAATTTTTTGTTGCTTTACTTGTGTATTTGTATTTGTTTCTGCTCACTTCAATAAATGGCAATGTCATGCGCGAACGCACAACACACATACAAATATATAGGGAGGTAAACAGTGAGCACTAGTGAGAATATCGTTTTTCAACAAATATTACTTAAAAGAGACAAAACTTGAAATTTGTACATGATAGAGCCTTGTTAACAAAAGCTCAATAGCCTAAGCTTAAATTCCATTGCTGCACGAATTAATACATATTCTTATTTTTATTTAACATCATTGTTATAATTGGCTTAAAATCAAATGTTATACTAAAAAGTTTAACATCATTTCATATCGTTTTTTTTTTAAGTTTTGTTTTCTTATTTGTGTTTTTGATATTTTACTGTACCTTCTCGCAAGCTTGTTTACCATGCTTTGACTTTGCTTTGGATTTTATTTATTTTTATTTATTATTTTTTCGCTTTGCCGGCTCTCTCTCTCGCTCCCGCACACAATGAGAGCTTTGTGTGATTTTCGCCAGCGAGAAAGAGAGTGTGGGTAGGGAGTGGTGGTGTGTGTGTGCTGGGCATATGTGTTGGTGGGGGTCGGTTTTTGAATAGCTGTTGCCGCCGCTTCGCTTCATTCGTTTGCCTGCTCGCGTGCTTTACGGTTCGAGATTAACAAGAAAATCTTATAAAAAACCTTTCGAAAAATTACACACAAGTTTCTTACAAAAAAATTTAAAAATAGCTAAATTACACGAAAAAAACTTTAAAAATTTAACTTTTATACATTTTTTTTTTGCGTGTCAATAAAACGACAAAGCTGCGAGAACGCCTTGTATGGAGGTATGTGAATCAACACATTATAAAGATAAATACTAAATAAAAGAAAACAAAATATATAAAAATCGGGCCATAAAAAATAACAAAGTGTGTGTTGGTGTTTGTGTGAGTAAAACAAAAATAATAATAAGAAATACAAATGGCAAAGAAAGAGAGAGAGCAAGAGAGAAAGAGAGAAGGAGAACCGCAGAACCGCAGATTACAATTTCAATTTTTTTTTAATCAAATACATATCTACACTTGCATTTTTCAGTTTTTCCCAATCTTAGCTATTTGTTTGATTTTGCGTAATGCCCGATTTTGCTATACCTTCTCCTATTTCATAATCATGCCTTAAACTTAGCCACTAAATGTATAAAAATAACAACAACTAAAAAAGACAAGAAAACCACGTTGAATTTTGGTTTATTTCTCTCCTTCTCTTTGGTACTCTCTTTTGGTTTCTCTTTAGCGTGTAAAGCAGTTCTAACTGCTTTTCTACAGTGAAAGCTCTTTAAAAAAATATATTTCAAATATATGAAAAATATACTTGACATTGGAAATAATAACTGTACTTGTTTAGAAGTGAAATTAAAATAACATACATGAGTAATTAGTTTCGAAGCTAGTTTATTTTCTTGAAAGAGAAGATTTTTTAATGAGGCAAAAAAAGGTGACACACTAAAAAACTCATTCTCCCATCCTCTCCCACTATTTCTCTCTTTTGCGCTTTCTCGCACACACACGTGCAATGACATTTGTTTTTTTTCGAAAACGACGCGAAAAAGCTAACAATACAACTAACAATAAATAGACAAAAACAAAAGCGATCAACAGCAATTATAAACGCCGAAAGCGTTTTTCTATCGGCCTTGTTGCGTTTTTCAGTGTATACAAAAACAAACAACAAAAAATTGTACAAATACAAGTGAAGCGTATATATAGAAAACTTAACCAAACTTGTATAGATTTGTTGTTTTTTTTTTATTTATGCCAAGCACTCGATTTTATTGTTCCACTTTTATCCCATTCAAATTGTTGGTTTGCCTCTATTTTGGTAAATAGTTTAATCCAAATATAAGTTTTTCTCAATCATTTTTATAATTTTGTAGTATTTAAGGAGAGGAGAGATATATTTTCAAAATTTTCAAATTTGTATCCCAAATATTCGTAAATTTTTCAGTTCGGTTTTTTTTAATTTTGGAATTGCAATTTTAAATATCAACTGCATAAAATTGTTTTTTTTTTCAAAATTGCTGACTGGTTCTTAAAATAATTTTCTTTTAAATTTTTAGTTTTCATAACTCATACGCCCTGTTTGCGGTGTTTTATTATTCTTTTCTATGACTTGACCCAGGCGTATACGTAATGTGCAAGGCAAAAAGCGAGAGAGTGAGAGAGAGGGAGGGAGAGAGAACTGAAACATAGACACACAGCCATTTACTCACAAACACTCACTGGCGCACACTAGTGCAAAGACACCGACATGGCGGCCACAACGTCAAGCATTACGTATACGCCGCGTGGTTGTCGCCATCGCATTTCTTATTTCCTTTTATTTTTTCCTTTCTTTTTTTGTTATAGCCATCTTCTATCGAGAAAATTCTAATTCTGAAATATATTGTGATATAGATTATTAATATTCGATTTTTAAGACTTATTTATAAAGTAAAACTAAAAATGGTGAGAAGGCCGAGTCTCCAAAAATGTTATAACCAAATACAACTTTAATTAAGTAAATTCTAAAAATCTGCAAACAAATAAGATAGATAAAATATAAACAACATGATTACATTTTAAAATAAAAGTCTTAAAATATTATTTTAATTTAATAGAATTCAATTCTATTCTTCAATTTATGAAGTAAGAACTAACTGCTTATAATAGTAGAAATTAAAAAACATAACAAATCTATATGAATAGTAGATTTTCAATTGTTCCAGATTTTACTTAGCTTTTCTAAAAACTCTTGAACTCAACGATAAAATTCTATTTGATCTATTTATTATAAACAATTCTACAGATGTAACTTTTCAAAAACCATTTTTGATTCACCTTTGTTCTCTGTGATTAGCATGAATTTCAGACATTTTTGTTTATATTTCATAAAATGCGAAAGAGCGGGCGAATAACACAAATAAAGAGAGAGGCAAAGTTCTCTCAAAAAATGCTGCTGTTTTCCTTTTTCGCTACGTTTTCTCGCTTTTATTACAAATTAGTTTTTTTCTTTTTTTTTTAGCTTTTTACCGTCTATGCTATCTTGTTGATGGCCGGAAGTATGCAAAAGCTTTTTCTCTTTCTCTCTCTTTGTTAGGCGAAATGTTTTAAAAGCTGTTGCAATATTTTTGCCTATTGTTTATTGTACACAAATCCTAATACAAAAAGAAATAAATACAAACAAAGCATTGTAATTAAAGGCCATTACAATTACAATTGATTCAACAATAATTGTGAATGAGAGAAATGCCGGCTTATTCTACTTCTGGCATTTATTTACATATATGTATTTTAATATTTTCATTTTTTTCGTCTCACGCTCTTTTACTTTGATTAAAAGAGGAAACAACTCATTTAACATTTTTTCCATAGATTTTTCTCCATTTTCCCCACTGGCATTTCAATTGGGCGACAATTTTCAAAACAAGAGCAAGAAAAACAAAACATGCTGGCTGTCAATTATTTGTTTGTTTGTGTGTATTATTATTGAACCAGTCGCACGTTGATTACTCCACGAGGTTTTAGTTTTTTCACCGTATCCGAGGGTATCAATGGGTATGCGGGGCTCTGGTGGAAAATCTAAGTAAACACTTAATGTATATAGTGAAAAAAGTGGGTCAGGAAAATGAAATGGAAAAGGGGTTGATGTTTACTTATGATTAGTTGGTTTTTCAGGGAAGATAAGGTAGTTTTAAAAAGTAGTGAATTATGCAATCATATGCTTATTGCTTTTAAAAGTATGTTTATGGTAAAACTGTAATCAGTTTAAACCTTTTATATTTATACAGTTTTATAAATTTTTATTGTAATAATCATTTAATGTTTACACTTACATATTGTACATTAAAAAACAAAGTGGCATTTTAGTGACAAGCAAGCATAATTTGTTTTGTGGGAGAACTTTTTGTGTTTATTTAACTGTTCATATCTAATCTCAGTTTCAAAACTAAATTAAGTAAAGCAGATCTAAAACTTTGAAAATCAGTTTTAGTTTCTAGTTTATTTAAATTTGATTTTTAAATTTAAAAGGTATTAAAGAGTAGTGACAACCACTTACAATGACTTAACTCCACTTGCTAGTCGGTGGTTTTATTTGCTACTAAAGTGGCTCCCTTACGATTTATTTTTTGACACGCTCATAAGCATCTGTGTGCCGCATTTGTTCAAACTTTAGTATATATCATATATCTGGATGATTCACCCATCCTCCGTCATCAACACCATCATCATGATGTTCTCGTCGGTAGTTTCATGGCGTTTTATTAGCGTGGCTGCTTTTCTACTTTTTCTATTCTTTTTTTTTTTTTATTTGGCCTTTGTTTTTTAGCAAGCAGTTTGCCCAGGTACAGTTACCGCTGGCTTTTTATTTTGTTTTTGCCTGTTAATTGGCTCGCAGAAGAAAATACCCAAATGCAAGACTTGCACTCTCTCCTGCGCTCTTTCTCCCTTTTTCTTATAGGATGGGTGGGTGAATAGGGGGCTTTAGGTTGACATTTAAAGCAGCTCCATGCTGGAGAAAGGTCCGCAGGTCATAACCAAAAAGCTAAAAAGCCAGAGAGCAATTTTGACGGTGACGTTGACGTTTCTAGAACACAAAACTAATCTCGAAACGTTTACAGTGCAGGCCCTAAAGAGGAAAAAGATTTCTTTTAGTCTCAACCTAAAGATATATTAACTTAATATTTTCAATCTTGTATGTTTATCTGCATAATACCGAACTAATAGTGCCAGTTGTGCCATAAACTGTCATATTATAACAAAAAAAATCTTTTAAATGTTTGTGTTAGGAAAGTTGTACTGTAATAACAAACTTAAATAGCGGTTCAAAAACAAATGTGTGGCTCTCTCTTACACTCTCTTTCGGCTTCTCTTTGGAAAACAATAAAAGCAGAGATAAACAAATTCAGACTGAGAGCTGCTGAAAATAGAGAGCCTTTCACTGGAGAGATAAATAAAGAGAGAGAGAGCTATGTATGGGCATTTTTCGATGGAGAGTTTTTCAATGTTGGATTGTCAAAATTGCTGTTGCTTCGTTTCGATTGTTATTGTTGTTGTCGCCATGCGGCCATATTTGCTAATTAATTATGTCAAAGGCAACGCACCAGCCCACCACCCCCCTATTATTCTTCTTCTTATCTCAAACACGTTGTTTGGCGCTCTCTGTCTGTATTTCGCTCTCTGATTTTGTATACGCTCTCTTGCGACGCTGTAAAATAAAATATTCGTACGCGTCTTGTTATTATTTTGTTGTTGCTGAGGAAATAAAAAAAAAATAAAATAAAATAAAATAAAATAAAGCACAATAAAAAGTTGCCAAGACAACGAGTAGACATTCGAAAAAAAAGAAAACCAAAATTGCGTCGTTGTTGCTACAATAACAAACGAATTCCAGACTGCACATCAGAAAGAATAATATTTGTGATAGAATGCGCCCTGTGATGGTTTAACAACATTTAAATGTGAATTAATATATTCTTTTACATTTTAAAACATTTATATTTGACATGAAGGCTATATAAATGCAGCCTGTAAATAAATAGTGTTAATATTATTAAAAATAAAATTTATTAAATATACGAAAAAATCATTTTACAGAACTAATATTAAAACCTTAAACTTGCGGTCTTGTAATAAATCAATATTTTTGTGTTTATTTACATATAAAATATTAAACCTAAAAATGTTTTCCGTGTACAATTGCAAATAACTTCCAGGCTGTACTATTTGCTTGGACGGCCAGTGTAATGGCGTTGGCTGCGCTGCTGGCGCTGGAGGTCAGCGGAGCTTTTTTATTTATTTGTTGTTTTTGTTGCTCGTACGTTTCGTTCTCGTCGCGTTTGTTGTGTTTTTCGCATTTACGGTTACGGCTTTGTTGTGGCGCGCACTTTTCTCCCTCTACTCGCTTTCGTTCTCCTTCCATCCCCACTCTTTGTCTCTCTTCCCCTCTCTTTTGCCATACTTTTAGCACATGCAAAACAATGGTTAATAATCAGATAGGTTAGTTCAAAATGAAGAAAAGGGAAATACAGTCAGACGTCTGTTGGACGGAATTTACCTTTTTTATGTTTTATTTAAAAATTCTGTCATATATATTCGTAACTTTATTGTAAAAATCAAAATCTGTAGATAATCGATTAAATTTAATCAATGCGTATTAACGTTATAAAAACGTGTATTTATGTTAAAAAAAAAAAAAACAAAAAACAACAAACATTTCTCTTTTATCCCATTTGCACTGTGTTAGCTAGTAAAAGTAAATGCGTTTCTTGGACATTTCTATTGTTGACTTTTCGTTAGTTTCCGTAGTTGTTCTTGTTGTGCCTCCCTCTAATGAAAATCAATAAATAATAATACACTTTGTTGGCTGCCCCATCCCATTTACCGCTCGTCCCCTCTCTGTTTAACCAACGTTTAGCGCTCTCGCTATTTCGATTCGCGGTCCCAACGGCAAATATACACACATACATACATATGGTGTCCCTCGGGCAAAATGAATATTTAAGTTAATTGCCTTTGATGTAATGGCATGCGATGACTAGAAGACTGAATGGGATGAATAAATGATGAATGCATTAGCTGATTACTGTGGTAATCGATCGATCATCGATCCTCGTCCTCTCAAACATTTTGAAAATAGCTGGAGTAATATATAAGATGAACCAAATTTTTTCGACATCGATCATTGGATCGTAGCCCTTCTTTTTATTTTAATCCGAAATGTTGTTTGCTGATTATTTATAATTGTTAAAGCTAACCAAAATCGCGAGGAATCTCTTACAATCTTGCCAGTCAAATAATATTTACCTTAATTGAATAATACATTGTGTTAAATCAATTATAGATCATTGATCTTTGGACTTTCGATTCAATTAAAGTGAAATCATTGAAAACTGACTACTCTATCGTTAGTCAAAGAAAATGGCTAAAGTGGGAAACTATAAGGGAAGTATTCCCGCACGAAGAAATACCGATAAGATAATCTCCATAGAAATCTAGAAAGAGAGGGGACTATGAACAGAGAGAGAAAGATTGAATATTAGAAAAAAAGAGAACAGGTGAATTGCCAGCGTGTTGGCGTCATAAAAATGCCACAAAAAGAAAACCCGCGTAAATTAGAAAAAACAACAGAAAATACCCTCGATTGCGTAAAACTAAGGAGAAGCATTATAAATAGGGGGGGGCTCCGGGGAAATACCCTGGAAAGTATGCAATAAAAACGGCGAAGGACGTTGAACAACAATAAAACTGCTTAATAATTATGCGGTTTACGTTTAGTCACAAAATTCACGAAAACACAATTTGATGACCAAACAAAGTGCAGCAAATTGATCATTTATTAATTCAATCATTAGATCATCATCAAGCTTGGCTAAAAATACAAACTTGGTTTGAAAATTGCTGGATCACCAAAGTTATTTTGAAGGAATTTCATACCTAATGATGAGACAATATTCGAACATTTTAAATAAGTAATGTTGTTAGATGATCACATTCATAAAAAAAAGCAATTGATTCCCACACTAACAGCTTGTGATTCCAACATCACAATCGATTCTTGTACTGACGCAATAGTTACATATTACCATATCATATATGACGTTGACTGTGATGTAAGCCTATTGCTGATCAGATCAGATTAGACTATGGTCATAATGACCCCGATTTTGGATTGGTAAAGCTTAAGTTAAACAAGGGAAATTACAGGCATTGACTCAGATTACTGGGTTAAAACATTCGACTGATGATGTAATATGTGATCATTTTTTGTTGGATTAATCATACAAACTTAAATGAATAATTATCATGTCTTAATAGGCGCATGCCAGTGAGAAAAACTATAAATTGGCAAAGAATTGATTTTTAAGTTTAGCTAAAGAGACTTATAAAATAAAATTCTGTTGTTTAAGTGTTTTGTTTTTTTTTTTTTTTATTAAAATCGCGAACTTTATTTATATTATGTTTTAAAACTGAAATAAAAAAAAGTCTACAAAATAATTTTAAAAAAATTTACAATTTATAAACATAATGTTTTTTTGCACACTGAAAGTTCTGGCGAAAAATCGATCTAAATATGATCAGTTTTACAAAATATTTATTATTTCTTCACAATATTTCGACATGGACTAACCATCATCGTTTCCTTTTACCCATTGCAGCATGTCCACAGATAATCCCACACAGTTGCTGACCACCCGCGATTTGAGCCAACTGCGTGGCCATCTGCAAGTCAGCTCAGCGGTGGCCTCCACGCCCACTTCTGTGGTGGCAGCGGCAACAGTGGCTGCCGCCCATGGATACCGCACCATTGCACCACCACCCGTCAGCAACAGCAGTAGCAGCACCACCACCAGCACCACAGCAGCAGCATCAGCAGCAGCAGCATCAGCAGCAGCAGCATCAGCATCTGTAATACCACCAGTTATAACCACAAGCAATAGCAATATGCCGGCCAGTGCCTCAAAATATGTATTTTTGCAACACAACCACAACGGTGGTTTTACGGCATACGATGGCACTGCCACCACGACGGCCACGGGAAGTTCGGGATCCGTTGGTGCCACGGGTGGCAATATAGTACTCCTAGCGGCCGAGCCACTGGAAATGGGTGCCTCCGGGGAGACATTGGTCAATGTGCGAACCACCGACGATGATGGCGAGTTGCGTTCGCTGTCCTGGCTTAACGACAGCAATCTGATCAAGGGCATTGTGACAACAGCACCCGGACAGGCGGGTAAACGTGGTGCAGCGGTGGCCATCAAAGCGGCCAGCGGATCGGCAGTGGTTGGTGGTGCGTCCAATGGCAATCTGTGCATAGTGAGCGACTTGATAGAAGAGTTGCCCACCAATCTGAGTGAAAGCAGTGAACAGGATGCGGGAAGTGGATCATCAGCTGTTTACAGCACCACCACGGTGCATAAGGGACCCAGTGGCACCACCACCGTGGTGGAGTACAAAGCCAGTAAAGCCAATCAACAGCAGCAGCAACAACAACAGCAGCAGCAACAGCAGACGGCCTATTTGCCAACGCCGACGAGGACCACAGTGTTGGGTCATGGTTACATGCCGGTGGTGGTGAGCAGTGCCGCCAACCAATCAACTTTACTATCGCCCGCCAAACAGCAGCATCATCAGCAGCATCATCAGCAGCAGCAACACATCTATGTGACCAGCAATGGGAGCACAGGAACTGCAGGACCAGCAGCAGCCATCTACAAGGCAGCCAACCAGGCGCTGTGCTCGCCAACCACCACTAGCACCACCAGCAGCAACAGCAACAGCAACAGCAGCAGCAGCAACACCACCACCCACCATCCGCACAAGAAGTATCTGCGCGAGAAGATGCACGTTCAGATGGATCATAGCAGTCAGGTGGCCTCAACGGTGACGGTGGTCAGTTCGCCGGCCTCCTCCAACAATTCCTCGATCAGCAGCTCCAGTTCGGCGTGCAATTCGGGTTCGGTTTCGGGTTCGGGATCCTCGACAGCGGCCGTAAACGGGGGCAATAGCCCAGTGCCCAAGACCAGCAGTTTTAGCACTGTTTTCGAGGCGGTCAACTATGCCACCTCGGCGACCACCAACAGCAGCAGCAACAGCAGCAACAACAGCAACAGCAGCAACAGCAGCAGCAGCACGCCCAGCAGCAGCCAAACGACGATACTCCATGGTCAAGAGCCACCGGCTGTTGTGACAACCACAACCTTGATCAGTGCCGGATCCTTGCCGCCGGGCTATAGCTTTGTTAATCACGTGGCCAGCACGCCGCATGTCATGTGAGTGGTTCGGTGGTTCGAAAACTACCAAATGATAACAAAGAACCAAGCCTAATCTCATGCTCTCACGCTTTCCCTTTCGCAGTTCCACGCCAGCCCATGTGGCCTCGCCGGAGACGCCGCCTGGAGCAGCACTGCTGCCTGGAACGTACTATACCACCGGCACAACCACAGCAGCTTTACAGCCGCGCAGCCTGCAGTTATCCGTTTCCCCGCCGCCGCCAAATATGACGCCCACGAGTCAAGTGCACATGGGATCTCTGGCTGGAGGTCCAGCCGGATCCGGCGGTGGAGGAGGTGGAGGTGGAGGTGGAGGTGGAGGTGGAGGTGGAGGAGGAGGTGGAGGAGGAGTTAACCTGCGCAGCCCCAATAGTTACACTAGCTACGAAAACGAGGATTCCTTGAAAGAGTTCGATCTGGTGGTCAGCTCACGCATGCACACAAGCACGCCTCAATATTCGGTGTCGAAAAACGGAGCCAATGGCTATGGTAGTGGCAACAGTAATGTGAATGGCGGCGGAGCTGGTTCCAATACGCCGCAAAAGCAAAAGCATCCCAATAACGTGCCATACGATCCGCTAGTGCATACCAATAACAAGCCGCCATATAGCTTTAGGTAACTATTACTTTATTCTTCTTACATATATAATATAGGGCAGCACATAAATGTACATAATTTACTTTGCAGTTCGTTGATCTTCATGGCCATCGAGGGTTCGAATGAGAAGGCACTGCCCGTGAAAGAGATCTATGCATGGATCGTGCAGCACTTTCCGTACTTCAAGACGGCGCCCAATGGCTGGAAGAATAGCGTGCGCCACAATCTCTCGCTGAACAAGAGCTTTGTCAAGGTGGAGAAGGCACCCAACATGGGCAAGGGATCACTGTGGCGTGTGGAGCCACAGCAGCGCCAGAATCTCATCCAGGCGTTGAATCGATCGCCCTTCTTTCCCAACTCGGCGGTGGATAAGATAAGTCCCTCGCTGAAGAGTCCCAGTGGTGGATCTGGTGGATCTGGTGGATCCGGTGGATCCGGTGGTGGATACGATAGCCTAGACGGCGGCAATGCTGTTCAGTCTTCGATTCAGCAGCCAGTGGGAATGGGAGGAGCAGCGGCTGGAGCAGTTCCAGTTGCCGCCGTGGCCCTGTCCACGCCCACGAAAAGCAATGGTCTGGTGCTGGCCAACGGTGCTAGTCAAGCCACGAATGCGGCCAGGCCGCACAGTCCCGGCGGCGGTGGCAGTGGCAGTCATGCCCGCTTCGATCCCAAACTATTCCCCAATCTGTCCAAGGCCTTTCGGAATATACGCGACGATTCGGCCGGATCATCGGCTATGCTGCAGGATGTCCACGATGACGATTTGTCCGGGGACTATCACAGCAACAATAATAACAATAATAACAATAATAATAACAACAATCACAACTCTGGCAGCAAGTACAACTATGTGGGCTTAAACGGAAGCGGAACTGGAGATGGCAGTGGATTAGGTGCTGGCGGTGGTGTGTCCGCCACCACCAATGGAGCTTCTGATGGCATTAACTTTGAGCGACTGGCCCGCGATTGTGGTGCGGACAGTATGGACGATGTACATGCGGCGGCGGCGATGCTCTTCCTTAAACACGGACCAAAGGCCTTCAGCGAACCCTTTCAGAATGGGTAATATATTGTTGAAATGATTCCGATTTGATAGTAGAGCTAATCTTTGCTTTTATATCCATAGGAGCGCACCGGTGATCACGAGTTCTCCGAGCGAGGATCACACCTATTCGGCGGGTGGCAACAGCAATGCGGACAGTGGTTCCTCCACGCCACTGACCAACGGCAATGTCCTGGCCAGCGTGGCACAGGCGGTGGCCCAGGCCCAGAATAACCAGGGAGGCGCTGGATCCGATAGCAATTGCGCCAGCTCGGATGCTGCCTACGATAGCAGTGAGGAGAAGTGAGTTGTAGACTTGGTTTACTAAGCCAGATAATTCACAATACTTCGCATTTTAAAGTTATAATCTGATCCCAATTAATCAAAATCTTAGTAGATGTATCATTTTATGAATTACTTATTTAATTATACGAGTTTTCATAATATTTTTTTAAGTTGATCTGATCAAGATACATTCTAAAAGCTATCAATATTCGCTTAACAAAGCGGACTTTATTTTATTTATATTTGAAATTGGAATTTACTTTTTTAGTTAAGACTGGAAATAATGCAACATTTTCTGCAAGTTATATATATATTTGTGTGGTATTTCATACAAATAATTATGACTATTTGTTTTAATAATTCCTTACTTAAATGATTTTTACGATATTGTAAAATGTAATAATAATTTATATATAAAACAATAGAACATTATATTTGCAATTTGTTTTTATCCATAATGTAAGTCATAAATTTTTGTGTGGTATTTAATACAAATATTCATGGCTATTTGATTGAAATATTTTTTTTGCTATTAAGTTAAGTGCCAGCTACAAAAATAAATGAATACTTAGTTATGTTTGCCATTATGTTTATTAAGGCTATAAAAAGGCATGTAACTTATGTGGTTTTCTTTATTATTTTTCACCAGTCACAACATCACGCCCGAGGAGATGGCCGATCGGCAGCGGCATCGCGATGGCGTGGACGCCCTGCTCTCGCTTTCCCGCTCCTCGATTGTGGAGTGCGGCTCGGTGGCCACCACCCACTATCACAGCAACGGCAGCAGTGGCAGCAGTCATGGATCCCCGCACAAGCGAGCCTCCAGTCACAGTTTGGAGGAGGAGCACCTGCAGCAACACCGCGAACAGCAGCATCAGCAGCAACATCAGCAGCATCAACAGCAACATCTTCAGCAGCAGCAACATCAGCAACATCAGCAACACCTCCAACAGCAATTTGGCAGCAACAATCAAGCGGTCTACACCAATGGCAGTGGCAGCAAGATGGCTTTATTGAGCAGTGCAGCTGCCAATGTGGCACTCGCCCAACAGCAGCAGCAGCAACAGCAACAGCAACAGCAACAGCAGCAGCAGATTCACCAGGATATGTACTCCTCGTCCACTGGCCATACTGCCAGCATATATTTGGGCGGACTGAACAATCATTGCCTGCCCGCTGTGGGCGGTGTCGGCTCTGTGGGCGTGACAGCTGGCATGTTGCCACAGCATTTGAGTGCTGCCATGGTGGCGGCTGCAAGTAAAAATAAGGTCAAGCCGCTGCGAGGATTACGCACCAAGATCAAGCGCAAGTCCGCCTGGATGCGGTGAATATGGCGACAGGCTGGCGGCAAATGGACCTAATACAGCCACCAAAATAAAATGCATCCACACTACGCACCACACCCCACACCCCACACCCCAAGCCCCACACCCCAAGCCCCCTGCGACCTATTGTTGTCTCTTTCTAAAGCAAAAATTGTTCAAATCACAGAGCATTTAGACTAAATTTTGTAATCTTAAATTAGGGCTGAGAAATGAGGTCCCAGTTCACATTATCTATTTCTCTATTTTTGTTTTTTTTTTGCTCTATCTTTTAGAATTTTTTGTGTGTGTTTTACCTCCTGCCCCTGACATTTTCCGTGTTTGTTATACAAATTTTTGACTATTTTTTTTTTTTATTACTTTACATTTAGGCTTAAATGTTTTTTGACTTTACTTTCTTCCCGCAATTGATTGTTGGCCATTTAAATTATACTTGATTATGTAATAATAATGATTTACTAGCCATCCTAGCTGCAATTTCATAGCCCTTAAGTGTCATTTTGATCCTTTTTAGTTTGTAATTTTAATTTGTGCAAATATTTTACATTTCAATCGCAAAACGAGAATAAACGACAACCAGAATTACAATGAAAAGTGTCTGGTTTTTTAAGGCCCCCAATTCGTTACTAGCTTTTAATACATACACAAAAATCTAGATTATTCGTTTTTACTCGCGAAATGAGGGACACAAACAAAGTAAACTTTTCCAGCGTATCAGTGACAAAGTTTATATCAAAAAAAAAAAAAAAAACAAAAAAACAAAATAACAACAAAAAAACACCAACAAATTGAGCTAAGTAAGGAAATCTATGAAAATATGAAACGAAATAACGAAAAAAAATTGTAAAAATCGCAAGAAAATGGAAAAAAGCAAGAAAGCAAACGCAACGTTTGTACAAAAAGCAACCATAATTAAGATAAATTCTTTTTTATTTCGGTTTTGTGCCGCAAGAAAATGTTTTTTCTACACTTATAAGATGCAAAACACCCTACTTACATGATCTAAAAACCATAAACAAACAAAACGATATACAAATATATATACACTTAGCAAGAGAGTTATATAGAGAAACTAAATATAAGCCAAGCAAAAAAACCCACAAAGAAACACACATTTAGCGCCTTATACATTGAGTCCTTAGCTAAAAACAAAAGAGAGAGAGATCTGTTGAATTGTTTGAACTGCTTTGTTATACGGATGTATGAGTACATATATATTCTATAACTATATAAATTTAAGGTCCCACCCCGCGCCCTCTTTTTCCCCGCCCCTCGCCACCATACGGACACTCAAGCAAATGTTAAATCAAAGATATTTAGTTTATAAGCCAGGGAGAAAACGAAAATCCTAATTGTAAGCATTCATTTATATGGTTACGTAGTTGAAATGCTAAACATTTGTTAACGAGAATCAAACCGTAAGCTAGCCGATTTTAGTTGAATGAACCTCCTCCAATATCCCCCCCCCATCCCCAATGTGTATATACAGAATGGAAAAAAGAAAAAAAAAGCTGTTGAAATTATGCTGCACATCTTTACATAGGCATATTGTGGAAACCAAGAAATACTTATTACCATTTAAATAAGCAAAGGATGAACTTGACAAAGAACGCCCTAAGTGTATACACTTCATGTACCTTTTTAGCAAAAAGCAAAAACGCAAAAGCAAAGATCGCATTAAATTACCAATTACGAAACTAAACTAAATGTTGATGTCAAAGAGAAACCAATTTGCTAGTTGTTACAAACAAGAAAACAAAACAAAACAAATGTTAAAAATATTGTGTTTCCTCAAAAACTTATTATTACGATTATGGTTTTTTTTTATTTGTTTTTAGTTTAATTACGTAAGAATATTGCCTTGAAGCATGTTTTGGGGAAAGAAATGTGACTAAAATACCAGAAGCGAGAACAACAAAATAATTGTATACCTAGCTTTAACTTAAGGTCCTACAAAAGATCCTAAAATACCTTTAAAATCAATACCCCCCCCCCACCCCTTCGCACGACACACAGTGAAAGACAATCGCCGCCCGTGTTGTTGTCGTTGTCGCTTAAGTTTAAACAAATTCTATGTAGCTTAAGACACCTACGAGTAATATATATATATATCTATATATATATATATATAACTAACACACAGCAATAGCAAAGTACATATACGACAAATATTGTTATACAACCTTAAGCTTTAGCCGAGAGAAGGTGGAGAACTATCTTCCCGATCCCACAACTCCTATTACCTATACCCTATATCCCCCAAAAAAAAAAAACAACCGATAAGCTAACCAGTTTTGTTAACGTGTTTTCTTCTATTTTAATTATTATATCGCATCATTATTATTATCATTATTATCATTATTATTATTATTATTATTATTATTATTATTATTATTATCGTATATATATATTCATGCTGGTATATATATAAATGATTATACAACTTTTTTTGAGTACCAAATACACACCAATCAAAATGTGAAATATTTTCTTTACTCAATGTTTGTTTTATTTCGGTCTGTTTGTTTTTCGAAGCAAATTTATTGTTTATATAGCTTACCCTTTTTATTTTGGCTTTATTTTTCAAAAAAATATTTTGGTAATTTTGCTTTAGGATTATTTTTTACATTTATTTAGTTTCTTAATTGGTTGACAGCAATGTGTATATAGCTAATAGTTGTACATAAATTAATATAGAGTTTACATAGAGAGATCTGATTCTGTTGACCTATAGTAAGTGCCTGCCTCCTCCCTGATGATGAAGACAAAAAAAAATCCTGGGCCAAAACCAGAGTAGAGCTTTGATTAAATGCCGCACTGTTGCCAATTTTCATAAATTTGTTTGTTAAAGTGTTAGCTTGAAGCTAGAAGAACTCGATCCTTAAGCCCCGCCTTGCATTAGCCTCAAAAAATAAAATAACAAAGATTAAAATAAAGAACATTGATAAGACACTCACCTACACACAATGTACAGACTACAGGGTATCCAAAACATCTCGACAAAAACCGCAGAGAATGAGATATATTTGCCCACACAAAACTTATATGTATATCTCTCTGATAAATAGGATGATCAATATCAATCTGTTTGCCCTCCAAGGTTTCAACTAGCGCCTGTTTTTATGTCTTTAAAACCTCTGTACCAAAAACATTAAACATTAAACAAATTATACAAAAACCAAATAATTCAACTAGAATATGAACACTTACGAAATACCAAGCAAAACTTAAGCAAATCAAACATAAATTATATTTATATATATATGTGTAAAAGCAAAGGCAAAAAATGGTTGGGAAGAAAATGTTACCCTGTATTTTTTTAGACATAACATTTTTCTACTTTTTGGACGATGTAAAACCCAAAGGAAAAAAAAACAAGAAACGATTGTAAAAAATGTATGCATATGAAAGTGAAATTTTTTGATTTTAGTTTGTTGCTAATTTATAGAAAATCATGGAACAAGATGAACCAACCAAGTGCGAAACAGATTTGGGACTGATCTTTGGGCCTGTGTCTTTGTGTATAAGCGAATTGTGTATGACATACAATAAATAAATTACTCTCCACCCATCTGTTGATATCGAGCAAAATGAGCCTGCGTTCGTTTTTTATTTATATTTTATGGAAATAATGGGTTTGCAGGAAGCTTTAAGAAAAAACTGCGCTCCCTAGCTCGAAACTTAACAAATTTAATTCCGATTGTGAACTGGTTTGTGGCCTAATTCTCTATTAATGATCATTTAAATCTTGAGAGTACATTTTTGCTCAATATTTGTCCATTTTAATGATGTAGCCCTTTATCAATTTTCCAGAAAATGGGATAACAGAAAAGTGACTAAAAACCCCTTTTTAAATTTTGCTATAAAGTGATTAAAAGCCTGAAGTTTTAAGTCCATAACTTTTCTTACAGCCATCCGATTTGTATGTGGTATATCTTTAAAGTCTTGTGGCTTAAGTCTCTAAAAATCTGCATTTAAATCTTGGTTTGTAGTTTCGTTTTATTTATTTTTTCATTTTTTTGATGTTGTATCTTGATAAATTTTCAAAAAAATGGCTTTGCAAAAAAGTTGTTAAACAACTCCAATTTTAAGTCCATAACTTTTCTTACAGACATCCGATTTGGATGTGGTATATGTTTAAAGTCTTGTGGCTTAAGTCTCTAAAAATCAGCATTTTAATCTTGGTTTTTAGTTTCGTTTTAAATTTTTGTCATTTTTATGATGTTACCCCTTTCAAAATTTTCAAAAATATGACTTTGCAAAAAACTTATTAAACACCTCCAGTTTTAAATCCATAACTTTTCTTACAGGTATCCGATTTGGATGTGGTATATGTTTAAAGTCTTGTGGCTTAAGTCTCTAAAAATCTGCATTTAAATCTTGGTTTGTAGTTTCGTTTTAAATTTTTGTCATTTGCCTTTCTAAATTTTCAAAAAAATGGCTTTGCTTAAATGTGACCAAAAACCTGCTGTCTTAAGTCCATAAAATTTCTCACGGACTTCCGATTTCAAAGTGGGTTTAATTTACTGAAAATAATCATTTAAACGTTTATTTGTAATTTTTGTGTCGATTTTTTATAATTTGTCTTTCTAAAAAATGGCATTGCAGAAAAATGACAAAATACCTACACATTTAAGGACCTAACACATCTCTTTGTCATTATATTTTACAATGGCATATTTGTAAAAACTTGTGTTTTAATTCTTTAACAAACCGCATTTTTTAATCTTTGTCTTTTGTGTTTATATGATAATGATTGTTAGAAATGTAACCCAAAAAAGAGTATTCTAAGTCCAACTAACCTAAGAGTATTCTAAAAACTGCTTTAAAAAGCTCCTTTTTTATAAAAGCTTTTTCAAGATCTTACATTTTGTATTGCTTTTTGAAATGTAAAATTCTTTCTACATACATTGTAAAGGGCGACACCTAGCGCTCAAAAAGAAATAAAAAAACGCCCTCTGCACTGCTTGAAATATAAGTGTGGAAATGAACTTTTTAAATTTAATTTAAAGCCGTTACTGATAAACTGAGGTGGATCCCACTTTCAAATGGTGTTTTTAAAATTTAAAATCTATTTCGTGGTTGTCTCGCCAAACAGCCCCCCAAAATAATAGAAATGACCTTCGTATTGGAATACAGTAGATTCGTCTTTATTGAATTTGATTTTTCTGTTCAGTTTTACATGCTATATAAACTAGTTAATTAATCATATTATTATTATTATTATTATTATTTATATTTGCATTATTTCGTGTTTCTCATTTCAGCGACATCTCAAATGTCTCTCGTTTATTTTGATAATTGTTTTCGTGGCTGTTTCCGTTTCCATTTGATTTTTTTTCATTCGCTTTGGTTTTTTTCTTTGAAAATCGTTGCTGGAAATACGTTTTAATGAGTTCAAATCAAAAACACAATACAGTTTACCTTTATTAAAAAAAATATTCATTACCTTTAATTTATTTTGGTTTGTTGTTAATTGTATGCTCGTGTGCATTTATACAAGAAATGCTACAAAAAAATGTTTTGCTTTTTTTTCTTTTAAATTTATTCCGGTTAATTTTTATGTTGCTTTTGCTTAGATCTTATAAAATGATTTCGAGGTTGCCAAAAATTGTATGTGCTTAAGTTTAATATATATTTATAATATAAATATAACTATAAATGGTTTTTGGTTTTTTTTTTTTTTTTGTATTTACTTTTGTTTATATGTATATTTTTGATATTTTTGCTGCTTTTTTGTTTTTAAATTGTTTTTTGGGCACATTTTGCTAATTTGCTTAAGAATCTTCTTAATTTTTGTTACTCTTCTCGCTTTGTTTTCGTTTTCGGTATCATTTTCTTTTGCATTTATTTTGTTCTGGTTATTCATATCATTTTTGGGCGGATTTCAAACTGAAAAACGGAGCTGGCTCTTATCAAGATCATTGTCGGTTGAAAACTTAGGGATTCGGTTTGGTTTCGGTTCAATATCTCGACTGCGTTTGTGTGTTAACTACGGTTCTTGCTCTTGTTCTTGTTGTTATCATTACCATTCAACAGTTCTGAATGCATGTTTTTGTATATACGTAATTAAGTGTGTATAATATATATCTGCTGGTTAACACTATGTGGTTATTTCAAGTCATGCTACACTTTCGCTTTTTATATATTCGTTTGAATCTGCTAAAATAACTTGCTTGTATATCCTTTCGACTTATTATTCCTTATGCTTTAAACATAATATTGATATGGTCTGGTTTTTGTTTTCGCGTTATTACTATCTGATGTGAACTCGAACTCTTCGATTTATGTTTTTGGATTTCCTCTAAGTTTCGGTTTAACTTTCTTATGTACAGCGAATATTTAGAGGGTGAAATAGAAGGGAGGGGGAAGTTATGACAATTGGCAAAGTCTCAAAACTGGAGAGATTGTGTGGGTGTGTTTGTGTGTAGTGTGTGCGTATATCACCATGGGCTTAAATTCATTCATATTCATATTCATATAGATATCGGTATCTATCTCTCAAAAATATAAAGAAACAATTAATCAATCAATCATTGGTATAAAAAGTGGCGCTTGTGTGTATGTTGTGTTTTTGAATTGGAAGGATAATTTCATATTTGTCGTATTTACAGCTCAACTCTTTTGATTTGAATCTATTTCCGTAACCCTTTAAATAGCTTTGTTTAAAATTAATTACGTATGTCTTGGAGCAGTACGGATGTATCCAAAAAATTTCCGCTGCCTTTATATATTGTGGGTCATTGCCATTCCTTATTATTTTACTTGACTAGCACCGCATATTGTTAATAAATACAACTATGTATGGTATTTTTAAAAAAATGCTGATCATGCATATATATAACTAGGTCTGTTATAGGCTTATATTGGCTGGGATGGCGAGGGGTATTCCGACTTCTTGGCGCTCCCAAAAGTATGCTATACAATTTTAGTGTGTTATTTGTGTCTGTTTTTCGGTGAGGGTGGGTTTCGGGGGTTAAGGTTTATAGGTTTATAGGTTTTTTTTTTTGAGAGGGGGGGTTACGGGGACTGCAAGAGATTGCGAGTACTTTCGTTCCTCAGCGGCATTTTCTGCGATTTTTGGTGGTTTTTTCTTGTTGTTGTTGGAAAATAAAAAAGGATCTCGATGGGTTTTTTTTTCGTTTAAGAAAACATTTTTATTTGATAAAGTTTCGTTCATGTTCATGTATTATTGGTATGTTGTCGCTTGTGTTTTCGCTTTCCTTCCTTCTTTTAATATATATATATATATTTATATATATATATAGATTTATATTATAATTACAATAATAATAATAATAATAAAAATACGAAGACAAAAAAATTGTATTTAAGAAATAATTAAAACTAAAAGTTGCGAACCATTTCAACGTGTCGGTTTTTTCTTAGCTCAACTTTCGTTATCCATACTTTGTATATATTTTATATATATTTATTTATTACTTGTTTATCTCATATTCATATAGATGTAATTTATTCTTTAGCTAAAGCGTATGAAAATGCAAAGTATTAAACTCGATAACTTAAACGCAAACAGGAGGAAAAGAGAACAAATTATAATTTAAAGAAGATCGTAACAAATTTCGCTGACAGCGGGCAAAAATTGTTTGCATATTTTTTAAAAATATTTTTAGTTGTTTTTTTTTTTTTTTTTTAGTTTTGAGTTTTGTTTCTTGTATAAATTTCGCTTGAAGACGCAAATTGTATTTCGTTTTAGGTTTTTGAAATGTGTTTGGTATATGTTGGTAATTTTTTCTCTTTATTTCTCTTCTCATATATATGTATGTAATAATAATAATAATAATAACGCGGCAAATTTTGGGCCTATGCAAAAATGGTTTTCGTGTAATTTTAATTTATTTAGCTTTTTTTTTGGTTTTAAGAATTCTGTTTTTTGTTTAGCTTAAACATTTAGCCTAGGAAAAAAAAGTTTAAATAGTTCTTAAAATTTGCTTTTTGCTCTTCTTGGTTTTCTGTGTTGTTGTCTCTTGTTCATATAGGAAAACAGATTCATTTTTTTTTGTTATATTTTTTTGTTTGTTTATTTTGTAATTTATTTAATATTACGATTACGTTGTAAACTTAAGATCTAGGCAAAAAAAAATTGGCTGTCTTAGAATTAGGATTTTTGTTTTTAGCTTTTTTTACGTTTTTCATTTGTGTAATTTCTTTAGTACGATATGCGGCTTGTGTGTTTTTTTTTTATTTTATTTTCATCTTTAAATATTTTAGATTCACAGAAAAAAATTGTTGTTATTTATGCTAGGGTTTAATGCAAATTTAAATTACCGTTAGGCTAAGTTGATAAATTTTTCATTTTTCGCTTTATATGCATATGTATAATTATATATAATTATGTATAGAATAATTAGATTATAAATAATTTAGTGCATTTTGCATGTTTATTTTTGCTATAATTATGAATTACTCAATTTGTGTGTGTGTGTGTGTTTATTTTTGCTGTGTTTGTGTATTTTTGTGTGGGCGTGTGTGTGATTTTTATGTAAATTCAGAATTTACAAAGTTTATTGTTATATATTTTTCTCGTTTTGCCTTCCTTTTCTCATCGTCACAATATTACTTTATTTTGGGCAACAAAATAGGGTAAAACTTTCTGCTCACTGCACTTTTGCTTGGCCTTTAACTATCTTTTACTTTGGATATTCACTCCACTCCTTCCACAATTCCCTTTCCATATCTGTATCATTTTATTTCGTTTTGTTTTGTTTTGTTTTGTTTTTTGCTTGAGATCAAAAGATAGTTAAACAAGTCGGTTGCTGAGGGTGGTAGAAGGTAGGATTTTTAGGAAGAACGATAGCAAGATCATGCCTCGCGAGAAATCTATTTACATCGTCATCTTCATTCATTGATTTATTTTTATTTACACTTAACCAGCTAAACTGCTAATAATCATATAATAGTTTCTCAAAAAAAAAAAAAATTATTTATATATATGTATATATAGAGAATAGAATTACGTGTGTAGTTATCAATCCTACCGCCTTTGCTTACAGTCTTCAAGTAGAAACAAATCGAAAAATCGAAATCGAAAATCTTTGCAAGATCAAATCTTTCACTTTCTTTCAATTGGATCTCGACATTTTGGTTAAAGTTCGTCGGCAAGCCGGGTGTTCTTAAATGGGGTTCTCATTTTCATTAATACTTTTGCGCTGCTCATCTCATCTCATCTCATCTCATCTCATTTCATCTCATCTCATCTCATCTCTCCATCATCGTAATCGCATAGCGTCTCTAAACTTTTAGCTACAACTATTACAACTCCTCAACCTAAGGCTATATCTTAACCGCTACAACTAACGCCTATATTTAGTAGTTAATGTTTACTGTTTAATGTTTACTGTTAAATGTTTAATGTTTAATGACAAAAAAAAAACAAAAAAAAAATAGAGTTTTCTAGGGCCTAAGTGCTATATATATATATATATATCTATACATATACATATATGGGTATAGATGTATGATGGATATGGATGGGTTTCACCACACACATCGTCTAAATATTCAAACTTAATCACAAGTAAACGCTTCTCTCTACATTGCACTGAATTATCATATAGTTTTTCTAGTAATTCCAACCGGCTGCCGTGGTTGCCGATGCGGTGGTTACTGCTGTTGTGTTGCTGCTGTTGCTGTTGTTGCTGTTGTTGCTGCTGTTGCTACTGTTGCTGCTGCTGCTGCTGCTGCTGGTGGCGGTGGTGGTGGTGCCCTCTGCCCCACTGGATGGCGCTGCTGGTGGCGGCGGCGGTGCCAGCGGTGCGGGCATCTCCTCCGAGGAGCCACCACCGGTGCTGCTCAGCCGCCGAACGCGCACCATGCGCAGCTTCTCCTCGTTGACCACCTTGAGCTTGTGATCGCTGGCCGCGGAGTCCTCGCTGCCGTCGACCAGATGGGCCAGACTGGCCACCTCGTCGTCGTCCTCCTCCTGCTTGATGTGCACCTCCGGCTCCATGAAGCGCTGATCGATCTCCAGCTGGGCATGCTCGTGATCCGAATCGTTGCCCCCATCCGCGGATGGCTTCTCCTGCTCATCGCGTCCATACTCCGAGGCCTGCATTACGCACACCCCATTGATGATCCGCTCGCTGTCTGCGGCAGCGGCGGCGGCTGCAGCGGCTGCTGCTGCCACGGCCGCCACAACGGCACTGGGATTGGTGACCGCACCGGCGGGATTCACCCACTGGGGGGCGGCTGGTTTGCGACGGGAGCTGCGCACCGCATTGGACATGTAGGCAGCGGCGGCGGCCAAAGCGGACTTGTGCAGCGCCTTCTCGTAATCGCTGGCCGCCGTTTTGTCCTCCTCCTGTCCGCCTTCCAGCGATTCGTTGTCGCTGAGGGCATGACCGCTGCCGGCACCGCCGCCAATGCCGCCAATGCCGCCGACACCACTGCCCTCCAGTTCCAGTTCGTCCTGGTAATCGTCGCTGCGTTCCCGCTTCAGTGTGGGCATCGACAAGTCCAGACCGCTCATCTGCTCCTTGAAGGCCTGATTGAGGGCCTGCAGCTCATCACCGCCGGCGGCACCAACGGCAGCGGCCGCGGCAGCCGCTCCCGCAGCGGCAGCGGCGCCGGGAATCCCCGCCAGACTGCGACCCAGCAGGGCGGCGGCGGCAAAGTACGGCGGATAGGGAATGGGCGCCCCGCCCAGACCCATGCGCTCCTTGTGCAGCTCGACCAGGCGCTGTTGCAGCAGCAGTCGGAACTGGACGGGATCGAAGGGTGTGGCACTGGTGCTCTCGCGGCTCGGAATCGGATTGTCCTGACCGGCGGGTCCATGCGGCACCTGTTGCTTCAAGCGCATGCGATGATTGTGGAACCAATTGGTAATGGTGCGCGTGGCCAGGCCCAATTCGTTGGCCAGGAACTCAATGGTGCCCACATTGGGATACGGATCCAAGGCAAAGGCCAGCCGCAGTGCCTCCTTTTGCTCCTCGGAGAAGAGCACACGTTGCTTTTTGCTGGGCGGTGCCCCGCCCACGCCCGAACCCACCGAACCGGGACCCGGACTGCTGGTGTAGAAATCGTTGGTGTCATTGCTGGAGGTATCACTGCTATTGTCCTGCTGATTCGGTCCTGTGCTCCTTCGCCGCTTGCTGGCCTCCCGCCGCTCATTCTTGAGCAACTGCAGCCGCTCCACATTGTTGGCATCGCTGAGCCACAGCTGCATGCGTATGAAGGGCTCCCGCCCCTTGATGGACAGCATGTGCCAGGGCTTCGGTTTGCTCAACAGCTCCGAGACGGAGCCCTGCGACAGGCCGAGCACCGCCTCGCCAAAGATCTTCTGGCCAATGTTGTTGGCCAGCAGGGCCTCCTTGATCTTGGTGGTGATGTCGTGCGTGTCCAGGTCCTGGGTGAGGGCGGCCATCTCGTACACGGTGGGCGACATATGCTGATTCAGACTGCGCATCGCATTGCTGCCGTGCACCGGCATTAGCATGGGTTTCTTATCGCCGCCCGCTCCACTCACCGGATTGCCGGGCGCACCCACCTGTCCCGCCGATGGTGGCAAACTGATGGCATGCTGGGGCGGCAGACCCGGCGATGTCAATAGCATGCTCTGATGATGCAGTGCAGCAGCTGCTGCCGCCGCCTGATGATGTTGCTGATGCGGATGTTGTTGCTGCTGTTGCTGTTGGGCAAGATGTTGCTGCTGCTGCTGCTGCTGCTGTTGCTGCTGCTGCTGCTGGACGAGATGTTGCTGCTGGGCGGCCAAATGCTGATGCGCCTGGTGCTGCTGATGCGCCTGCTGCTGCTGTTGCTGTTGCTGCTGCTGCATGGCCGCCGACATGGCCGCCGCTTGCATCTGTTGCATGAGGTGCTGCGCCTGCGCCGGCTCCTGCAGCTTCAGTTCGCTCATCATCTTCTGCATGGGCAGCGAGGCGGCCTGCATCTTGCTGGCCAATCCCTGCGGCATCTGTGGACTGCCGCTGTAGCTGCCCGTACGCATCAGCTTCTCGGGTGCAATCTTGTACTGGCTGGCCACCAGTTTGTGCACCGCATTCTCGTCCTCCAGGAACATCTTCATGCGGATGAACGGTTCGCGTCCCTTCTGCGTCAGCATGTGCCACGGCTTGGGCCTTGCCAGCAAATCGGAGACGGAACCCTGCGACAATCCGAGCACGGATTCGCCAAACAATCGCTGCGATATGGAGTACTGGGAGAGGGCCTCCTTTACGCGACGCACAATGTCCTCGGTGTTCAGGTTGTTGAACATGTCGAACTGCTGTTGCGTGATGGGCGGCAGCACCGCCTTGGTGGGACGCTGCGGTGTGCTGTGGTGCGGCGTCACCGGCGGCTGTGTGATCAGCGAATTGGTGATGGAGGCCATCCGCTGCAGCGGACTGGCCGTGGCCGCAAACTCCTCCCCCTGGCTGCTTAGCGCCGGCGGCAGTATGGAATTGCTCAGCGGACTGGGTGCCGCCGAATTGGCTCCACCACCACCACCACCAGCGCTGGTGGGTGTCACTGGCACGCCTGCTCCTGCTCCAGCTCCCGCTCCCGCTGCTCCCGCTGAGCCCGCTGAGGGCGGCGCTGGTGGGGCGGGAGTACCGCCGCCCTCGGATTTGCGGCCATGAAGCGAACTGGCATACGGCTCGTCACGTTCGCCATCCTTGGAGCAACTGCTGCTGCTGCCGGCACTGTGCTCCAGCGAGGAGCGCTGTCCGTTCAGCTTGATGTCCTTGGCGGCGGCGGCCGCCAGTGAGAGATCCTGGGCACCGTTCAGCACCTGCTGCTGCAGTGCCATCAGGCTGGAGAAGTTGGGAAATGCGGCCTGGGCCGCCTGCTGCTGCTGTTGCTGTTGCTGTTGCTGCTGCTGCTGGTGGTGCTGCTGCAGCTTGGCAATCTCGCGCTCGAAGACGTGGCGCATGTTCTCGTCGGCCATGGCGGGAAAGGCGCTGCCAGCTGCTCCCGGCATGCCAGCTGCTCCTCCAAACAGCGACGGCGAGAAGAGAAAGCTGTGCGGGGGTACAAGAGTTGATTGAATACTCGATGGCAAGGGCTTACAAGTAGGGTTTAAGTTTCTTTAAGTTTAAGTTAAAATAAAATATATAATTACAAGTAGAGAGTTTCTATTTATGGTAATAAAATATAATGTATAATTACTATATTGGTAATAAAATAAAATGTGTTTTTTTATCCTCAACTTACATATTTTTGGCTGTGATTTATTTAAAATATTAGGATAAGTTTCATATCAAACTAACAACTGAGTAATTTGAAAGTATTTTTAAGTCTAATTATTTATTGCTCTGATTTTTATCCATTGATAATTAAAATTATTTTAAATCTGGCAGTATTCTTATGTATTGTTTTTAAATATTTAATTTGACTATTTCTGAAATATATTTTGATATCTGCAATAAATAATTTGAGCGGAAGCCTCTATTACTACTAATAAAAAAAAGTAGTGAACTTAATTGTTTAATAAATATATTTAAAAAGCAACAAATGTGTTGTACTTATATATCACTAAATGAAATACTAAATTTGGCAATCAATAGCGAGATATATTTTTTTTTATCAGGAACCAAAAGCAATCTTTATTGAAATATAAAATCTTAACAAAAAAAAAAATGTGACCTAATTTTTTGTGCTATGTACATATATATACAAAAACTTTCTTTTATGAAAAAAAATTTGTTGTTATTTGATATATTTATTTAAAAAAAATTTAAAATTTCATTATATAAGATTTTTGTTTATACGAATTTAAAATAACCATTAATTGAGGTTTTTATTTTGACAAATCTCAGATAATCGTTGGTACATAAATTTCTTTAAATCTCACATTATTTATATTATTCTTATTCTTATAAAAATGTGCATAATATTATGTGGGACCAGACTACAGTGAAACCTCGTTGCAAACTCACCTTGGAAAGGCCGTCTCCCTGGGCGTGCGTGCGATCAGCTCCTGGTAGAGCCGGGCCATCTTGTCCTGGGCCAGATCCTCGTGCCGCAGTCGCTGCTGCACCTCCCGCTCCCGTTCCCGCTGCTCCCGCTCCCGCTCCCGCTCCCGCTGCTGGGCGGCGGCGGCCTGGTCGGGATTGAGGTGCTGCTGGTGCGGCTTCAGCTGCTGCTCCACCTTGAAGAACGGTGAGGTGCAGCTCTGCGGCGGCGACTTGCTGTCCTCGTTGCTGTGCGAATCCTCGTGACTGCGACGCTCCTGCTCTCGATCTCGATCCCGCTCCCGATCGCGGTGCTGATGGACCACGCTGCTCTGCTTCATCAGCGATGAGGCCTCGCTGAGGATGTGGGCAATGCGATCCTCGGACATGGAGTCATCGCCGCCAGCGCCGCCGGTTCCACGACCCGCGTACTGCGGCAATCCAGAGTCTGCAAGAGAATAGCGATTTCTGGTTAGTGGCTACACACACAGACAAACACACAAACACACACACACATAAGATGATGATGATGATCGTAAAGCCCATTAAATGCTGTAAACTTTATGCCAAACCCGACTCATTTATAAGGGGTTCGTTCGTTCATTCCGTCGTTCATTCGCTTGCTCGATTGGCAGGACATGAAAACTCGAACTCAAACTCAAACTCAAACCAGACCGAAACCAATTAAGTCATAAAGCGTTCAAAAATGCCAAAGCGAATTTGCGACCATAAAGCGGCGCTGCAGTTGAAAGGGCTCCCGCCAAGTGTCCACCAAAATGCCACGCCCCTTGCCGCCTAACCGCCTCCTAACCGCCCATCCAATGCACTGACAGAAATTTCGAATGCCCCCAGGGGGGCAGGGGTTGCTCAATTATAACCAGCCCAATAACACAAACGGCATGACATGAATGGTGTATAAAAATAAAACAGATTTGTATTTACTCCACTTTTTTATTAATTTTTTTTTTTGTACCTTTCTCAGGACCTCAAATAGTTGTTCGATGCAAAAGCGTTGCGCTAATTTGGCACGCGCCAATCCTCAAACCCAAAAACCAGGCAAATATGCTCATCGAAGCGAGCGTCCAGGAGTTGAATAAACGAAACGAAACGAAATGAATAAATGAATGAATTCAATTGCAATTGAGAGTGGTCGGCGGAAATGCAAAAAAAAAAAAAAATAATAAAAAAAAAAAAATTTTAAACACAAAAATCGCAAACGAACTGGGGTTCGCAACGCAACGCAACGCAAAAAAAAAAAATGTTTAACTGAAAATTGTTTTGCTGAAATTCAATTGAAAATGAAGGAAAATGGAGGAGGCGCGCGTTTTGCTTTTTGGCTTTTTGCTTTTGCTCGTGACAGAGAATCGAGTGGTAAATTGCAAAATAATCACACAAGTGGTTAGAGCCACCCAACCAACGAGTCGAGCCGAGGGACCATTGAGTTTCCCGTGTGATATGCGATATGTGATATGTGATATGTGATGTCCTGCGGCATGTTTTTGTGGCTGCCACAGCGAAAACATCAATCAGCCGCACACGTTCAGCGGAATGGAACGCAATGCGGGCAGGCAATGGGTGTGGCTGTGGGTGTGGCTGTGGGTGTGGGTGTGGGTGTGGGTGTGGGTATGGGGGTGTGGGTACTGGCGAAATGAAATAACTGAAAATCGCTTTACAATTGCCAAGCATAATCGATGCCCAAAGGAGCAAACACTTGGCCGCAAATAAAACTGCAAGTATCGGACGCCAGTGGACGCCAGCGGAAACGGAAATCAACACATGAATGACAAATGTCCAGGCACCAGAGGCTAACGTTTCCTCTTTCCTCTTTCCTCTTTCCTCCATTCAAACATCCTGGCCGATGCCATCCAGTCATTCAGCCATTGAAGCGAGAGATTTGAAAAATAGGTGGATGGCATGTAGATCCGGACTGTCCAGAGTCCACAGTCCAAAGTCCAGAGTAGATGGATAAAGGCGATAAAATGGCCAACTACAATAGATCCTCCTCCTGCTCCTCATCCTCATCCTCATCCACCTCCACCTCCACCTCCACTCGTGTTGCCATGGCATAAAAATTGGAAAAATGATTTTATGTTCACATTTTTTTTTTGCCTATTGTTGCTGTATCCTTATGTGGACTCCTTGTCGTCGCTTCATTTGGGGATTACAAAGTGTTTTTGTGTTATAAAGTCGAAGATGACATTGATGACACCTGGAATGACCCAGCCAGGCCAGAGATGGAGTATTGGAGTTGGTCAGACACAGACAGCTTAAGCGGTCTTAGTGGATGTGGATGATTGTGGCCAGCTGGAGGATTGCTTTGGATTGGATCCGATTGCTTTGCCTTGGGTTGGAGTGGAGTGAAGCGCTCTTTAAAGATGAGACCCCCATATAAATAAAGATAAAGTAATTGGTAAAATTGCTTTCAATCCATGTCTGACTTAATTTCAACGTCATTAGATTGTGACATTTAGTTAACCGCAGGTAATGCCAATTGTTGTGAACCTTTGCAAACCCTTTGTTTACCCAATTGCCATATTTTAATAATTTGTATACCAAAAAATTAAAGAGTCTCACGTGGCAGACAAAGCTGTCGCTCGCCCTCCAACTCCAATTCCATTTTATTCCAAAGGACAAACCCGCAGTTTTTTGGCCCAACTTTCGCTGCCATCCTTTATGGCCATCATTCAACTTTTTACTATATATATATACATCTATTTGTATAGATATAGATAGCGGGGCTGGATATGGATATGGATATATATATATATATATATATTTGTCGTTACCGTTGGCCACTTTTTTGTCTGCGATTTACATTATTTTTCCGTTGTGTGTTGGCCAACTCACACCGCTGATTTAAGTTGATGGAGATATGCTGTTTGGATTTTTTGTTTTGTAATTTATTAGAGAGGAACATGTTGACCAAATTGTCATTCAAAGGGATTTCGGACCGGCAATCGGACGGAGGAAATATGCGCACCAGATATAAGCTATCATATTTGTCTAGCACATACCAAAAAGTCCATATGTAAATGTAAATGAAAATGTAAATGTACATCTATATCGTATATATCGTATATTTTTATATGACAATCTATGCCATCCTTTAACCCTTTCCCTTCGTTTTCAGCAATTTGCTTGATGAATATTTGCCTTTTATAACAAATCAGAGGACGAAGAGCCCAGACAGTGGCTGCTTCAGCTCCAGAAGGTCTTGGTGGGGCCTTGGGGTTGCTTCGTTTGCTTTTTTATTCTAATACAATAAATATTTGCCAGCACAAATATGTAATCATACTTCAACATGTCGCCTCGATCTGAAAGGGTTATACCCATATATATATATGTACATATATATATATATATATGTGTATGCGGGGGTGCAAGAAAAAAAGAAATTTTTATATATGACAGGACGGAATTGAACGGCACATTGAAATTGGCACACGCACGCAATTTGCATTAATTGCAAGAAAAATTTTCTAATTAAAATGCCAGTCATTTGTTTTTCCTTTTCCCCAACTCGGTGACTCCTTTGGGCACCCTTTTTGTCAGCTATCCATTTGCTGTTGTTGTTGTGCCTGTGTATTAGCAAAAGTGTCAATTAAAAAAAAAAAAAAAAAAAAAAAAAAAAAAAGAAATGAAATGAAGACAAGGCCAAGTGGAGATGTTTAGGTGATGGTGGCTAAAAAGGGGTACCTTCAAATGGAATTGGTAACGAAATGGGAGGCTTCTTCTTCTAGCTGAGCAGAAAGTAAACGTAGCATGGTGAATTGAAGAGTTTCGACAGTTCGACATTTCGACAGGACGAAAAAGGGGGCTTTCCTGCACTGCAGAGTCGTCACCTGTTATCAAAAAACGTTTCACTGCCATTTAACCCATTCCTCGTACCTTCGCACTCATTGTTTGTCTTGCAATTAAGCAGAAAATATGAGAGAAAGAGAGGGCCTATGAGGGGTGTGAAAGAGATGGTTAGTGGGTTGGGGGGGGAAAGAGACAGGGGACAGGGGACAGCAGCCAAGCAGCCTGGAATCGTATGGCATGGGTAACGTGCAGCAACTTTGTCTTGCATTTTAATTTGTTTTCGTCATGATTTCGCTTTGTTCTTCCACCTTTTTCAGGCCACTCTGCTCTCCTGCCTTCGCAACTGTTGTCAAAGTTCATTACAAAGTAATTAGCTGCCTTATATGCAAAATAAAAAGCACAAAAATCAAGCACGAACACGACATGTGCAACATTAATTTGTTGTCTATGTCTGTATGTGTGTGTGTGTGTGTGTAGCTCAAAAAGTTTCCCATTTTGTGTGCTTATTTTTTATTATTTTTTTTTTTTTTGTGAATTTTATCTATTTTGTCTGTTTTGTTTTTTATTACAGTATTTTTCGGTTAGTCCTCATCAAATTATTAGCACTCCCTGATCGGAGGCCATTACTCTTCGGCCGGGGCTCTTTCATTCCTGATTGCCTCATTGCGTTCATCACAAAAGATATCAAAGAAATTCAAAATAAAATAAATTTTAGCCACGCTAGTCGCCTGGCTGGCTGGCTGCAGTTGTTGTTGCTGGCGATCACCAGATTTATGAAAATTGTTAAGCGAGCTTTATGCTAATTTATGCGTATTGTTTGGCCGGCCCACGCACTCAAACCTCCACCACCCCAAAAAAAAAAAATAATAAAAGAAGAAAAGAAAAAAAAAACCACCTCATCTGTCTGTTTTTGTTACCGCAATGAATTGCCACACTTATGCGATGCCACTCAATGAACAATATTTTAATGGCGCACGGCTGAGTGTTTGTGTGTTCAGGGATGTCACCGAAAAGATCGATACACAAACATCTTATCGATAAATATTTTCCGATATCTTGATGCATCTGATATCAAGAGTTCGAATTAAGTGTATTCCTTCTAACATTTTGGATATGGTAGTTGATTAATTAGAACTCGCTGCTTGTGATCCTTTCTATTTTTAATAATAAATACCATATGAAAGTTATTGTCATATTTGCTATATAATTTTCTTCTCGATATAATTATCTACCCATCCCTAGCGATGTACCTGCGTTTAATGTGTATAAATAAAATCAAATAAAATGAAATACAATCAAAAGAGGGGGCCAAAAATCGCGTAGAGGCGAAGGAATTGATACGCCCCGTTGGTCACTTAGTCAGAGGCAAATCTCTCAGTATTTCTTTTATTTTCCTCATGTGGCAGCAACCAAACCAAACACAACAACACACACACAAACACACACACTTTTAGCCCGCTTTATGGCTTGTGACAAATAATTTGTGAAGCGGCCGCAAATAAATATGTGGCAGTCTGCCTTTTCTTTTGGTTTTTTTTTTTTGCTTTTATTCAGCCGCATCTTCTGGCGTTTGGAATGCTTTTGTTTTGTCGAATCCCGTGTGCGTTGTGTTTTTGGTTCTATTCTTAGGCACTCGCACTCGCACTCGCACTCTTTATTTTATTTTTTTTTTTTGTTGGCCTGGCCTGAGTTGGCCTGGCTAAAAGCAAATAGACGACAACACGGCGGTGTCTGCTGAAAATTATGTGTTAATATGCTAGTATTATTAGCTGCTATAATGGCTCCGTTTGCCTCCCTCTTTGCAAAAAAAAACTCCATTCTCCGCTTTTGTCATTACGTATACGCCGCGTTATTTCTTCTGTTTTTTTTTCTGCGCTGTATTTGCCTTGGCTTTGAGCGCCATGCTAAACGAGTTTCAATTGAGCACTTAACTCCCCCTGTTTTTCCTATTTTCCTAGTTTTTTTTTTGGCTTTTGTTTTAGCATTCTGCAAAAGTCCTGTCAACAGTTTTTTCTGCGTTTGTGTTTTAAGCTAACTTTACTCAAGCGAAGGGGGAAAGGTCCTGGGAGTCCCATTAAAAATCAAAACTATTGCGATAAAATTGTGGTTTTTTAAGCAAAAATAAAAATTAAAAAACTTTAAAATCTAGAGTTGTGATTATTTTACATACATATACCCAAATACCAAATGTTCAATACTAATCTAAACTTCTAGCCTTTTATCGATATTGCCCTGCTTTGAAGTCGTAACCCCCCTGCAGTTTAAAATGCAACAATTGTCGTTAAATGTTGCAAAAACAAAAAAAAACAAAAAAAAACCGAGAACCAAATAGAAGCCGGCAATGAAATAGGGAAAACAAACTGAAAACGCAAAAACTTTTGCGTCAAGCCAGTGGTGTTGTGCTATCCCTACCCCATAATGGTGCACCTCCACTTCCTCCGCCACCCACAGAGCCACCCAGTGCACCACCCGATCACCCAACCACCCAACCACCCTCTTTTCGGCCAGCCACAAAGACGACTTCAAACGCTCGGCACGTCAACGTTTTGCATGCCTCGTTGAAGTCAGTTGCAGTTGGTATTTCTTGTTGCTGTTGTTGTTGTTGTTGCTGTTTTTATTATTATTATTTGTATTGTTGTTGTTGTTGTTGTTACTGTTGTTTTTGTTGTTGTCGTCATCGCTGGTTGTTGTTTACATTTAATTCAACTTCACGTTGTTCGCTATATGTATGTTTATATTTTTTGTTGTTTTTATAAATTTTTCTGTTGTATTTTGTTTCAAGCCTTTTACAGACCAATTGTCACGGCAGTCGTCGCGTCAAACCACCTACCTCCGCCCCCCTTTTTTTTTTTTTTTTTTTTCACCCATCCTACTTTTCACTACCCTAACCCCCCACCCAACCTATTTTTTGAACCGTTTCGTTCATAACGCGCTTTAAACAATTACAATTCAAAATTCATTGACGCGCATCCTGGGTTAACTTTTGCCACAATGACTTCAAAGTATTGTTAACCATCAGAGTTGACAGGGGCGTGCAGCTCAAGGGGGGCGGTGGCCTTAGAAGAAGGATGCCCAGAGTCCACATAGAACAAAATTGGCATCAAAGATCAAGAAAAATGCATACTAATCGAATCTCAATTAATAACCTGTTAAAATCGGTTTTCGAAAAAAAAAAAATGTAACTCTGTTTTCTAATCACTACATTCATATAGACTCCCATATATCTTTTCTGCATTAAAATTCCGAACTATGATCTTTCGCCACAACTATATATTTACTTATAATTAGCAAGGGAAGCTGAAAAAAAAAGAATGGATAACCTCTGTTGCACTTTAGCCTTTGGTGGTGGCGACCCCTTATGGTAAACTTTGACCCCCCGCCCCTGCCATTAGCAACTCCTCTCTATAAACAGTCACAGTTAGTTTAGCTGCCATGAGTAATCGTCATAAATTAATTGTCAACATTTGCATGCACTTAGACCAACACACACACACACATACACAGACACACACACACTCACGCATACTCACACACACATTTGATTAACTTTGCAGCAGGGGCGTCGGGCAAAAAAAAGGGGTAGGGGGGCTACGAATGCGTGCTGGCACTTTAAACATACTTTTGCATTGACATATTTTCGCTTTTCCCGCCGCCAGAAAGTTTTCCGGCCATAAAATTGATGACTAATCAATAAGGGAGCGGGAAACCAAGACAACTAGATAACAAGATAGCAGGGGCGCCCATAAGGGGGTCTTTAATAAAATTACAAATTCCGACCCCTGTTACAAACCGTTTATAAATTTTAAAAGAACCCAAAAAGGAAGTATATTATGTAACCATATAATGCGGATCCCCAGATCTATCGTGAATGAAAAACCAAAACTAAAACAAAAATTAAAATGAAATTTAAAAATTGAAAAGCATAAAAAAACAAAAAAAAAGAAACAAAAACGAGACAAAATGAAACGAATTCCTGTTCATTTTCACGCCTAATGTGCGAATTTGCCGAAATTTATGGCGACAGGCAAATGGCCGCTCCAACTGCACCGCAAATGTCTCTCTTTGGTCCACCCTCTGGCCCCCTTTTTGGTCCACCCGCTCCCCTCCTCCCCCTCAAATCGCGCCACCCCTTGCCCCAGAAAATGGCGTCGTCAAGTTTGTCGCTGCTTTTCTGCTGCTGTGTGGCTGCTGTTGGCACGTTGATTATACGCAAAAATCAAAAATAATTAAAATTTCACAATTTAATGTTTTGGCCGCCGGCCAAACGGAATGAAAAACGCCAAAAGCCGCAGAAAAAAAAAGAAGAGAAAATTTGAAAAAAATGAGACAGGGAAAAGCGAGGACATCGTTTGAAGTTCGAGTTGAAGGATTCTCTTCAATCGCTAATGGCCCAAAGGCTTGAATCCGATTTTGGCTTGGTTTGAAAATAGTTCAATGAACTGATATGTTGAAAGGAGTTCGCAACTAAATCTTAGGTTTTAAAGAAACATGACATAATAAATGGGTAATAGGTAATAAACCTGTAAACTATAATTGAAAATTAAGTGATTGGTCTACTCACAATCAACAAAAGATCTATACAAGATGGAGCATTTAATACATTTTTTTTTTGAAATCTTTTAAACATTTAAAATTTACCCACAAAATGTATGAACCTTTTTTACACTTTACATTGAATTCATGTTCTAAAACTAGTTATCTGGTTTTTGTTTTATGATTTTTTTTAACCTATAAACCTTTCTTTTAACTATTTTGAAATATGATTTTTAAAATAGTTTTCAAAAATATCCCTTTGACTTGGTCGGCATATTGTGAAGCTTTTACAATGTGTTTAATGGGTTTACGACCAAAAATCCCTTCCATCTTGCTGAGTCCCAGCTGTATGATTGGCATGGCATGGCATACCCCCCGCTTAACTGGCTAATCCACTCACCTTTCTTGGGTATCAGCGATTTGAGCAGCATGACAGCGTTGTCGTCACAGGCCCAGGCGTGCATCTTGCGATAGCTATCGCGTCCCTTCTCGGTCAGCTTGTCCCAGGGCTTGGGTTTGCTGAGCAGCTCGGAGACGGTTCCCTGGGACAGGCCCAGTATGTACTTGGCGAACAGCCGCTGGCCAATGTTGTGCACCGAGAGCAGCTCACGGACGCGTCGCGAGATGTGCAGGGTGTCCAGCGCCTGGTTGGCATACTTATCCATGTTGTAGCGCAACATTTCCTGCAGCTTGGCCTCCATGGGATCTCCCTTGGGGATGAGCGATTCACCGAGTCGCCCCGCCATCGATGCGCCCGGTGGCAATTGCAATTCCGAATCGGCGAAACGATAGTGTCCCCGTCCATCGGCTGCTCCGGCGGCCACTTGGGCGGCGGCAAACTGGAAGGCCGGCAGTCCCGGCAAAAATCCCGGTCCCAATGCGGCCGCATGCTGGGCATGAGCGGCCATCGCGGCGGCGGCCAGACCGTTGCTGTCCTCCTGCAGCAGCGATTTGCTGCCATTCAGTGTGCTGGCCAAACTGGCGGCCAGTTGGGCGGTGGCCGCGCTGCTGGCCGTCGCATTGCTGCTGTTCGACGAGCCATTGTTGCTCTGATTGTTGCCAGCGGCTGTCGGTGTGCTCGAATTCGATCCGGACTCGTTCGCCGCCGCATGGTGGTGCAGGTGGTGCGCCGCCGACGGATGCAACAGTCCATGGCCGTGCAAGTGGTGGCCATGATGGTGGTTCAAACTATCGTTGGCCGACGGATTGCTGCTGCTGTTGCTGCCGCTGTTCTGCTGCAGATGATGGTGATGTTGCTGATGGAGATGTTGCTGGTGGTGCTGTTGCTGCTGGTGGTGCTGTTGCTGTTGCTGCTGCTGGTGGTGGTGCTGCTGATGCTGGTGCTGCTGGTGGTGGTGGGCATCTAGGCGGGAAGAGTTGGAAGAGTTGGAAAATGTTGAGTTAACCAGTTGACTAAGCAGGGCTGTGGACGAGGGTCCATGTTGTTGTTGATGTTGCTGTTGTTGCTGTTGCTGTTGTTGCTGTGAAAAGTGTAGATGTTGCTGCTGATGTGTCTGTTGCTGTTGTTGTTGTTGTTGTTGTTGTTGCTGCGGGAGTGGTGGCGGTGGTGGCGGCGGCGGCGGCAGCAATTGTGCCTGCTGCTCGGCCCTAAGATTTTGATAAATTGTTGGCGTTTTGCTCCCTGGCATTGCTGTGATGATGTTGCTGCTGTTGCTGCTGCTGCTGCTGCTGGGATTATTATTTGTATTCCCCGTTTCGAAACCTCGACGCCAATAATCGTTGACCAGCTGCTCCGGCAGGATCACCTGATTGCTGGTGACCTCGTCGTCGTCATCGTCTTCGATTTCCTGCTTGGGCGCCATATTATTGTCAGCTTTGGCTTCCGTTTCGTTTGGCAGCAATTCACTTGATGATGTTGCTGATGTTGCTATTGCGAGTGTTGCAGTTGCAGTTGCTGCTGCTGCTGCTGCTGGCGACACTTCTTTTTCTGCATCATCATCGGCATCTTCGTTTCGGTTGTTGATTTCTGGGGATAACAACAAACAAATTGGGCTATTTGTTGTTGCTGCTTTTTAAAGCAAGATCATAATTTTTGGTTTTTTTTTTTTGATTTTCTATTTTGTATTTGGTCAACAACATCCATGGAACAAAACGCCAAAAATGAATCAAAACTTGTCTTAAGCCGGTTCTTTGTTTTTTCTCAACAATATTTTCATCTATCAATTATTATTTTTTTGTTCGATTTTTTTTCTTTATTTTTCGCCAATTTAGTGCAACAAAATAACAAAGAATCTCTGGTGTGTGTGTTTGGAGTATATATATATATATATAATATATATATGTATTTATATAGTGTATGGCATATAAAAACGATTTATGATTGAAAATTGCGATAAAGAGTGATGGAGTGTGTCGTTCTGCTATCGATAAACATGCAGAACACAACAACAACATCGACAACAACAACAACAACAACAACGATAACAGTGATATAAAAAAAAAAGTCAACAACAACAGTAACAATAACATCGAACGCTCACATTCGCCCGATGCAAATATTTTGTCAGAGGTGAATATAAAAGGCAAGTTGAAATGAAAAATGAAAGGAGAGCTGTTTGCCTTTTTGGCCCATAAAATCTGGCGCCGTCTGCCCCATTGATGCCCCCCTCTCCCCCCTCCCCCGCCTCTCCAATCCCGCATATTACTCTGCTTCTTCTTCTTCTCGGACGGTTTATCCTCCGTCGGCGATAAGCGGTCAAATAAACCATAAAAATAACACAAAAAAAAAGAAAACAAAAACAACAAATAAACAAAAATAAAAAAAAGAAATACAGCGTAGTCGTCGTCGGTTTCAATTCAAAGCGATTGATAAACCAAGAAATATCGGAAAGGCAGAGGAAGCAGGATGAAGTAAGGAAGAAGGAGGGGGCAAACAAGAGCAAGGCAAACCGGAAGTACAGTACTGACTAGGGTGGATCGATTTCTATATATATGTGAAATTTGTATTTAAGAAAATCCAAATTTAAACAATAATTAATTTTATGGAAAAGCACAACAAAAGTACAAAACATTATAATGACAAATCTATTTTAACTTTCATTTGGCTGACATAGACCTTCTTTATTTATGCATTTTCTATTCTAGATTATTTCTTTTTCACATCTTTAAAAATCGATTCACCCTGCCAAAAGAAAAAAAAACATAGCCCTCCCCCGCTTGTAACTGCAACGCGAACTCGGGTCTCACCTTCGCTGATGGCATCACTGGCGCCATTCTTGAGCGCCTCGGCGGCCAGAGCTTTGGTCCGCTCGATGAGCAGCGCCTGGAATTTGTTGGGGTCGTTGGCGCAGGCGGCGGCAGCGGCGGCCGCAGCTGCAGCGGCGATGGCCGATTGTGGACTGAGCACATTCAGATCCAGCGGACTGCTGAAAAGTCAATAAATTCGTTGTGTTAATACTAAAGTAGATTGGAATCTTTATTATAATTAAATATTATAAAAATATCATACATATATATTTTTATAATATTTAATTATTATTAAGAGTCAGCAGAAAAGGTGGTTTTATTTATTTAAATCTTATTATGTAAGAACACACATTTTTTAATAAACAAAGTAAGCCCACAGCATTCAAAGGTTTTTTTCTATTTATTCTAACTGTGGTATGGATGTGTTTGCTAAGAATAAACTTTGCACTTTAAAGGTTTGATTGATTTTATAGTAATTATAGTTATAGTTATTTATGTCCTTCTTTTTATTAAATTTGCATATAATTCAATAGCTCTGTATACTTACTGCTGTTCCTTTTTGATTTTGAGCTCGCTGCTATCGGTTGTGCTGGCATTGACTGCCTCCCGATCCTCGGCCTCCTCCTCCTCCTCGTCATCGTCGTCGTGGTGGAGCGGCTCCTCTGGCTTGTCCTCCGCCTCCTCGGAGTCCACCAGCATGGCCTGATCGTGATCCTGATCCTGATCTTCATCCTCGTCCTCATCCTCCGCCGGAACGGAGGCTTTTGCTGCCTCTGGCAGATCGCCAAGGATGGAGGATGAGGCTTCCAGCGGTGTGGTGATGGTGGTGGTGGTGGTGGTGGTTGTGGTGGCGCCCGTACTCAGCTTCTTGTTGTTGTCGCTGCTCTGGCTGTTGTTGTTGTTGTTGTTGGTGGCAGCAGCGGCCGCCAAAGCGGTGGCCTCGGCCAGCGCCTCGTTGATCTGCTGCTTGTCCAGACGCGCCTCCAATCGCATAATGTGCTGACGCTTGACCTCCAGGTGCTCCTCCAGTCGCTGGATTTGCACCAAGTGCGTCTGCTCCAGCGCCCTCAAACGCTGCAGTTCGTCCAGAAGTGCTTTAATCTGAAAGCGATAGAAATAACAGATTAATTATTTAGAAATTGGAATAAATATGCTTAATAATAAAAATAAACTTAATATAAAATTTGTAAGATTATATATATACATAACTTCTAAGCCCAATTGTTTTTCATATTCCAAATTGAAGCTTATTTGTTATACGTTAATTCAGCTGCAACTTCATCCATCTAAAGCCTTATCTAATGTTATTGCCTTTTACCATCGATTGCTGTTGTCTCGTGTTTTCCACATTTACCTTCTGGGAAAATTCACATTTTCCACACATGTATTCCAGTGTGTGTGTGTGTGTGTGAAAAGTTCTCGAGAGTTATAAAATAATTTTTAATAAAATTAACAACGACGTCAATGTCGCTCGGCGGTGATTGCCAGCGACTGATGCTGATGCTGGTTTTGTGGGTGGTGATGGTGAGGGTGATGGTGGTGGCACACGTTCTCCAGAACAAACCACCCAACCGCCAAATGCCGCCAGGTACAGTGAAGCCCCAGCCCAGCGAACAGCCACCCCCGCTTTGCCGATGTGGGCTTTGTTTGGAACTTTGTTTGTTTGATGAAAATATGATAATTGGCAAATTTGACAAGGGAATTTTTCTTAAGTGCGTTGAGCGAACACACACACACACACACACACACACACACAGACACACACATCCCTTCTTCGTGCTCTTAATTTTCTTGAATCCCACATGCCCCCGACCTTAAAAAAAACCCCCCTTTCATTCCCGTTTCTTGGTGAAAGTTGACAAGATAAAGTTTTTCGACAGCGCCGTGTGGTATGCAACGAAATTTTTTAATGACAGCCAGGTGGGCGTGTCTCTTCCCCAATATCTGAGTGTGCGTGTGCGTGTGTGTGTGTGTGTGCTCGGGTATTTGTTATTATGTGATTAAAATTAATTTTATGGCGCGGTTTTTAATTGACGCATCTGCCAGCGGCCAAAAACGAAAAACTTCACCTGCAAGCCAAAATTCTATATATGTATATCGATCTATAGCGTTAATAAAACCACTATATATGCATTTTATTAGTTAACATATTCTAATAAAATAGATTAGCCAGTAAATGATATAATTTTTCCTATAAAGTTCGAGCAGTAATGCCAAACCAAAAGAAAACTGCTGATATCGAGCGGTTTTCATGGGGAATAGGTAAACCTTAACCCACATGCAAATAAATAAGTTGAGGAATCAACATAATTCTAACTACGAATTTGCGTGTCATTGCGTGATTTGTGTCGAACATGGGCATAAACAATAATTTCATCAACATGGGAACACCACACCGCACCACACCACATACAGCACACACAGCACACACAGCACAGGTTCCCCACTTCATGTGTCTATTTTATCAATATTTGTGGATGGGCCAACGACGACGCTGATGATTATTGGCCATAAACAATGGGCCAGAGCCATGGCACATAATTGGCATTAAAAAAGCATCAACAACATGCGTGTATGGCCATGTGGCATGCCGAAAAATGCAAAACAGCCGCCAGCCGGTTAATTCTATTATCAATCAAAGGACCCAGGATATGTGAAAGGGTTTGGGTTTGAGTTTTGGTTTGAGTTTGAGTTTGGGTTTGAGTTTGGGTGGGTGGGCATGAAAACGTTGGCATGCGTGTTCGATTTTTCATTAGCATACGGGATACGGAATAAGGAATACGGAACAAGGAACAAGGAATACGGAGTACCGAATACGGGACTCACTGGAAGAGCCACCCTTTCGAAAGGAGAGACATGACAAGACGACAAACGACTCAAATTAATTGCATAAAAATCTTATGGGTGCGGTAAGTCGGCGGTATTGAGGGGGTGGCTCTTCTAATTGCCAACTGCTTGGCAGACAAGCAAAGTGAAGCTCAACATCTACATCCACATACATGCACACCCCCCCTTTTCCTTGGGCAAATGAAATTTTTCAGCTTTCTTAAATAAACGTAATTAGCGAAAGTCGCGGGGGAAAAACACACACACCCGAATGGATTTGTTCCATCTTATGCTCGTCGCCGTTTGCGGATGAGTGGTAGTAACACATGTGGCAACTGTACTGCAGGACCTAAATTCAATATGCACATTTTTTTAAGGTATTTATGGGTATTACAAGAAGAAAAAAAAAAGACAAAGACAAAGACAAAGACAATGACAAAGCCAATGGCAAAAACTTAATTAGCAAACATAAATGACAATGAAGTTTGGCAACAAAGCGTATGCAAATGAAAGCCAAAATTGAAGGGGCGAAACTGTCATTTCGATTTTTGTATTTCCACAAAATTTTCGAAAAGCCCGAAAGCGAAAGAAATATTAAAACGATAAATCAACTTTTTGGATTTTCAGCAGCGCACACAGACAGCAGAAATCATTTTCAACCCTTGAGCACACGGAACACAAACTTTCTGCAACTCTTCTGTGGTTGATGAGGCTGCAAAAGCGTTTGGAATGGGCTTTCTATTCTCTATGTAGCATCTAACAGCAATCAAACAAACTATAACAAATACTTTAGAGGAGGGGAAGGGGTGTGCTGTTGGTTTTGCCACCCGTATTGACTGTGAAATTATGAAAATTTACATTTATCCCAACCCATTTCCCAGCTGGCAGAATAACTGGACAAAAGGCTGGACAGGCGAGTTGTTACCCAGGATTATTTTCCCTAGTTTGGGTAATAATTTTACTAAAAAATTTATAGTTGAGGGGGTGGGGAGGAAATGTGGAACATTAGCAGCGAGCGAAAAGCAAACGATTTGTAATTAACAAAATTGCCAAGCAGCCGAAAAGTACTCATTCCCCGAACCACATTTCGTTTCGTTTTACCCTTTTGCATAACAATTGACAAAGCAGTCAATACACATACATATATGGGGGGTTTTTCCACGATGAGGAGGTTGGGATCTGAAACAACAATAACAAACACTCGAAGGCAAAAGACGAGAAACGTCGCACAATTGGCAGCAGGAGTTTCGCCTACACAGGGCAAAATATTTCAATTTTAAGGAATAATAATCAAATGGTAATTAGGTATTGGTTACTTATCAAGAATTTAGCATATGCGTTAATATATCCATTTTTGTTTAGCCCTAGGTAATGGAAAACAAACAAACGCTTAAAAATTTAAATGAGATAAACTTTTAATAGACTCTTGAAACAATTTTTCTCTGTGCAGAAGAAGGAAGCATAAAATGCCAAAAGGAATTAAGGTTATGCCTCAGTCTGTCTCTCTACACATATAAATATATATATAAATTTATATATATATATATATATGTGCCACATGAGGCAAGGGTTTTCAGTGTGGAGTGGGTGGTGGTGGGGGTGTAAAAAAAGGGTTTAATCAGCGAGCAGCAGCATCTCACACACACACACTCCCACACACACACACACACACACACCAACACACACACACAGGGACACCAATCTACAAATACAAATTAACAATAAGCAATCAAAGACACACACTCACAACGAAACTCTTCAGGGCTTGCTTATAAAATAATTCTCTTCTGTTTTGCTGCTTTTTTTTTTGTTTTAGACTTTTAGGCCGTCAGCTGCCAATGGCAAAGGCAAAAACCGTCAAAGGAATTAAAATTCATTCGGGCATAAAAATTTTAAAATATATATATGACTGGCAGAAGCGGACTGGAGTGATGGATAGAGATAGCGCATATAAAAAAGGGGTAACTTTTGCCAGCAGCAACATCGTTCAGGTGGTTGGGTGGTTGGGGGGTTGTTGGGTGGTTTGGGTGGTTTGGGTGGCTTGGGTGGTCGCCTTGGGAGGCTGGCTGGGGGTTGACTCTGTTGTTAATTTCCAAAAAGCCAAAAGACAAATGAGTAAAAGGCAACAGCCGGGGAAGAAGCTTCGTCTCAATGTCGTCAACTGGTTTTTTTTTTTCTTCCACTCCTTGCTGTATTTTATGTTCCACACGATGAAAAAATATAGTATTTTATATGATTTGTTAATTTCTATCTATCCAATCATTTATTTTCTGAGTTAGATGAAAGATAGATATTTAAAAAAATATGTTATTATTATTAAAGCAATTTTATATTAATTATTTTTTGCTTGAAAGATAAGATATATCTTTTTTAAACAAATTGCTAAGTGTGTATTTAATATTTTACCAAAAAAAGTAGCTTTCCAGTGCTGAGAATAATAAAACCAAAATTGACTATTTAAATCCCGAAAAAGTACACCACAAACTTTTCTCTCAGTGCACGTCCTTTGCCGTTCAGCTTGTCATTGATTTTTGATTGTTTTAAGTGTTGGCAAAGGAGTAGCTCGCGATGTTGTGAGCGGTTAAGGGGGTTTTGTGGGGGCACAAGGCCTTCAAGTGATAAAAAAGGGGCATTTTCCGGGGGAGGGAGCCTTAAAGTCTGCCAAGTGCACCCCAGAGCTTTGACGCCAAGGCTTTTGTTTTGCTTGAATCGCTGTGAATGTTGCATTTTTGCAACTGGCAATGCCCAAGTTGGCAATTTGCAACAAAAGATAACAAAGAATATGACGAGCGAGAGCGCAAACAGAAACGATGCAAAAATAATAAAAGAAAAGAGGAGGAAAGCAAACATAAATACAAAGCAGAAACAAAGACCCCGAAAGAGGTCACATATGGAGAAGTCCCTACAGAAAGTCGTCCCCCCCCCCGCCCCACCCCTTTTCACCAACCAGCCTCCCTCAACTTTATCCAATCGAAAAATGATTCATCTGAAAGATTTCTGTATTTATGGTATTTACGACGATACTTTCGTTTAACCTTAAAAAGTATTGTAAGATTTTTTTTTTTTTTTTTTTTTTTAAATAACAAAAATGTAAAGACAAACTTTAAAGAGTTGAAAAGAAATATTTGCCTTGAAATAACAAATCAAAACTGAAAACTTTGCAAAAGTATTTACATGCAAACAAACAGTTCAATTGAATATTTTAATGATTGCGCGCCCTTATTCACTCACTCAATCGCCTAAATCATTCACTTATTCATTCATTCCCACTGACA